TGCATGCTAAGGTAGAGGTTATTTTTTTTTGTAACTCTGCCTTTTTTCCCTGGACAATACGCTCATTTAAAAAAATATATATGCATTTCTCAGTTTTTTTTAAGAATAATTCTTAATAGTCTGCAGAACGAAGACTGCAGGTTGGATTATTTTTAAAAGAATCTGTTCAGTGATCTTTTCCTTATCATAGCAGCAATACCATGATGGGATTTATTTTTCAAATCCAATACTACTATGAGTAAATGAAACAAATTGAAAAATTATTTGCTTTCACCAATGCACGTATCGTTTAAGAAGGCGTTTATACTTCGGCAATTTTTTTTTCCAACACATTTTAAGTTTTTTTGTGATTTCATTCGTGTTATGATACTATCCTAGCCTGGCTCTTATAAAAAAAAAAAGCTGAACCAGATCAAAAATTGATGAAAATAGAGGAGTTTTTACAAGAACCGAAAAATGCGCGCGCTGTCTCTTTTAGGGCAAATTATTTGAGTTTTTTCCCCGGAAAAAGGCCTGGAAAAATTTTCATTTTGGCCTGGAAAACCTGGAAAAGTCAGGGATTTTTTTTCCAAAATTGGCTGGGAACCCTGTTAATAAGTTGCAATTTTTCTTTGCATTGCAAATTGCCTACCTCTCTGTTACATAGAGCTCATCTTATTGATCATTTAAAATCTACATTTATTGACTAAATGATGTTAAAGTATTGAAATTTCATGGTAAATAATAGCAATTTTATTGCAGTAATTCGCATTTTTATTTCATTATTTTTATTACACTGTGCTACTTGGGTTCTTGGCGCGATCCATCGACCGTACGGCTCTTGGCCAAAGAGGCGTCAACAAGTTGCTTTGGGTGCGACGAGCGGTGGAGAGACGCAAGTACAAATTGAATTAATTATTCAGTTTCCTTCTCGGATCTCAGCGACTCGGGACCGGAGCGTTTTTAAACGGAAAACGGATGCCGCGATCGCGATCGGCCGTGCATTTGCCGCCGAATTGAAGCGCAAAGAGCGCGCGTCGACCGGTTCGAATCGCTCGAGTGAAAATCTGTTACATCGCTAAAACCGGCGACAACTCACCCGTCTAACCGTTTCTTCAGCGGAGGTTAAATCCGCTTTACGTAATTTGCTCCATTGGGTGCGTTCCGAGCCGTCATAAGGTCAGTGCCAGGCACCATCCAGACGAGGATTCGTCAATCTTTACTCTCATTATGCTCATTAAAGTCGCAACTGCAAAAATTAAGTTTGAGACAATAGGCTCGAGGGCTCCGTGTCTTGGCATCTGGGCAGAATCTTTGCAGAGTCTTGCACGACAACTCGTTTTAAAGCAAATCTAATATCATTTCCTAAATATCCTTTCCCTGCTCAAAATTGGCAGTAGAATCTCTGTTCCAAAATACCGTAGACCTACAGCCGACTCTAAGATTTCCAACAGCTTCTATAGCCGGCAACACAATTTCTTATAGCCTTTTATAGCCGATGGCGACTAAGCAAAAGCCTGACGATAAAATGTATGCTAAACGTTACTAATTACGGATGCCAGGACTTAGTGAGTTTTTGGACTACCGCTCTCTTTTTGGGCCCTAGTACCTTGATTTATTTTGCGAGGAAAGCTCCGTACTTTTGAAGGATCCCTGCCATTCCTAATGTGTTGGAGCGCCTTCAATTTCGTACGATACTGTGCAATACCTGTGGTGTGAAATAGTTGCTTCAAGCGCCGTGGTACGCTGCGGCGCGGCGTGGCGGGCGGGCAGCCAGCGCGAAACGCGCATTGGCGCCTACAAACCCAACAGGGATACTTCACGCGTTGCGCAATGCGTGAAGTATCCCTGTTAGGTTTGTAGGCGCTAGTGCGCCGCCGCTCCGCCTTGTGTTAGGCTCTGATATTTAATCTCGTGGAGTCAGCGTTGTTCAACTCATGACTTAGAAATTTTTGCACTCTCTGTATGGATTATTCTCATTTTAATTGATGAAAACAAATATGTAGTAAAGGAAATTGTAATGTGCGTTTTATAAATATTATGGTGATTCCGTACAAACTTGAGGATTTCCAAAGCACACGAATTTCTACACAATTTCTTTTATAGCCTTTTATAGCCGATGGCGAAAAAGCAACAGCCAGGCGATAAAGTGTAAAGCCCGGCGACAGGAACCATAGCCCGGCTATTTAATTTTTTATCGCTTCGTGTAGCCCGGCCGTATGATTTTTTCCACTTTCTACAGCCAGCTATATGATTTTCTATCGCCTTCTTCAGTCGGCTATAAAAACCCCTATGGTATTTTGAAACGCAGCTCCTATCCCCAATTTTTACCAGGGTTGCTCTTTTGGCAAAAATTGGATATTTTTTTTTTTGTGAAAAATGCAAAAACTCTAAAAAGAATGCACATTTTTCATCCCATTTTAGCGTTTTGGGGCAATTTTCCTCCTTTCGATTGTCGAACCGTGTCGAACTTTTAGAATGTTGTTTAGGTAGTATAACCAGAAAGTTTGCCGCCAAGAAAGCTTTCAATTTATTCCGGGTCAAACGCTACTTTGACCTTACAAGAAAATTTTATTGAAATCACTAAATCAGCCCCGGTTCATTGTCAAATTACCACCGATCAGCCGAATGACTCTCAAAAATCGTTTGCTCGATAAAAATCGACGATTTTTATTTTTGAGTGATAGGGAAGCACGAATAGTCGGGCTGCATTTTGCAGCAAGGAATTACAATACCTGTCACATCCATGGAAACACTCATGTGCATCATGAAATTAATGGCACATACGTTCTTTCTTAACTGAGCCAGAAAGAGTAGTTCCTAATTGAAAATTGACGTATTTATGCTAAAAGGAAGTATGTTGCACTCAAACCCTATGCACATTTTTCCGTTTAGCAGAAATATGTCCAAATGTAGTCCAGTTACGAGCAGTAGTTTCGTCACTCCCGCTCTGCCCCGGCAAGGAACACACGTTAATGACCTCCTGATTACTGCGTATCCCTAATTCTATCGAGTTCGCCTTCAATAACTGTGATGGCTATTTGAGTGGCTTGGGAGCGCGAATAGTTGCATGCAGTAGTTTTGTCTTTTTCATTCAGTCTCGGCAAAGAAACGCACGCCTTATCACGCGTTTCTCATCATGTCGAATTCGCCTTCAAAAAGTGTGATGGCAATTAGAGCGGCTTGGAAGCGCGAATAGTTGCGCACACAGGGCTGGATTAACGATTTTGCCGCTGTTGACACGCGGAAATTTGCCGCGCCCCCCNTTTGCCCCCCCCCCCCCCCCCCCGAAAAATTTGGGAAATCTGACCACTGTAATATGCAATTTTAGCCCATTTTTTACTTGAAAATGTCCAAAAATGAGGCTGTAATTTTTTTTAGCTTTTAATCCCAGGTGGCGCGGCGCAGGGAGGTGGTGCGAAGATACAACAGTACTTGCGGTCGCGAAAATTTGCCGCTGTACGACATAGCCCTTCTCCTGACGAGACTGCCTTTTTCTTTGGGGCCATCCATAAATTACGTCACCTATTTGTCCGATTTCTTGATCCCCCCCCTCCACCCCAGGCGAGTGACGTAATGTTATGGACGGCCTCTTCTCTCTAATTTAAGTTATTTTTTCCGGTCAAATTTTCAGGGGCGGCATTTTTTTTTGTTGTTGTTTTTTTTTTTCTCGATTTCTGCCGCCCCCGAAAATTTGCCGCTGTGGGCACTGGCCCACTTTGCCCCTACGGTTAATCCAGCCCTGTGCGCACAATAGTTTTGCTACTTCGAAAGAGTTCCGGCAAGGAACACACAAAAAATATCATGGATTTTTCACTCCCTCTTGACCTTTATGTGTTGTGATGTCATCATACTTCCGAAAATCGTGAAGAATCGTGGGTTTTCATCCTCAAAAATGTTTGATTTTTTTTTTGAACTCTTGTGAAAAAGTAGACATTTTCTTTGGACGTTTTTATACGAATTGCACCATGAGTTTTTAGCTTTTAAAAATAGTCAGTAAGGGTTTTCTGCAGCGAACATTTCTACATTCTTGTCGAGAGTTTTTGAAAATTGCTTTTTTACAGGTAATGAAGAATTCGTACGCAATTTTTTTATTGTCTCATCTGAAAGAGCGTAAAAAGCTGATTTCGCAGTATTTTGTAAAATTTTGTGTGACACAAGAAACGCACAGCATGAACATAGATTTAAAAATGAGGAGATGTACCGACAGTGGCGTCACCTGGCGGCATGTCCCGTTTAAATAAATATATTTTAGCAGATTCGATAATATGATCATATCTCCTCCAGTAAGTGCTCAATTTTGAAACCAGAGATATTCTCGTGCTAGCTCAATTCAGTCAGTAGTTTTCCACTTGAACAGGAAATATAGCAAATTTCAGGCACCAAATTTTCTTTTGCCACTAGGGATGCCAAGCACATTTCGCATTGATCGAGTTAAGCCGCCCTTTCCGTCCTAATGGAGAATTTGCATGCACATTTTTTACCTATTGCTTCATCTGAAAATGCTTAAAGAGCTGATTTCACAGTATTTTTTAAACAAATTTTCTGATATGGAAAATAGTCTAAAAATAGATTTAAAAGTGAGAAAATACACCGTATAGTGCGACGTCATCTGGATGAATTTCCCATTTAAACACACGTATTTAGCAGATCAGAAAATTTTGTCATATCTTCTCCAATAATTGTTCAATTCATGAACCAAGGGTATCCTCGTGTTCAGTTCACTCAGTAGTTTCCACTTAAATACGAAATTCATCAAATTTCAGACACCTGCAAATTCTCTTTTCAGTCAGTAGTTTTCCACTTTAACAGAAAATGTTGGAAATTTCAGGCACCAGCAATTCTCTCTTGCCACTAGGGATACCTAGCATATTTGGCATTGATTAAGGGAAGCCGCTTTTTGCGTCCTAATTTCGCTTTTTGACAGAACGAAAATGTAAATGTTGGGTGCGCCGAGAAGAGCCAACATCTTATTGACACATGGAAAGAGTGATTTTGATTTGGTGTTAATTGTTGCGCAGGGTGGGAGGCGGCCGCTGAGCAGGTGTTGGAGCAGTGGCAGTGGAAGCGGTAGCGGATCCAGCAAGTCGAGCAGTCTCAGCCGCTTGGCCACGGACACGAGCAGCACCCACAGCAGCGGCACCAACACCATAAACACCACCAACACCATAAACACCACCAACACCATCAACTCCAGCGAATTTGCTAAACTCTGTCTCCAGGCTCACAATGAATATCGGGCCAAACATCATGTACCACCGCTCAAGCTCAACAAAAAAGTAAGACGCGCAGTGAACGTTATTTGCACGCTTGCCACAGTCAGGGAAAACTGGGAAATGTCAGGGAAAATGATGAAAATGACGCAAATATGTCAGGGAAAATTTGTTAACTCACCTTCATTTGCTCTCTAGAATGGGTTTGACATTTTGAACAAGAAATTCTGCCTGAAAGCTATTTTCAATGATGCCTTCTTGACCATCCGTCACATCTTCAATTGTCCGGGAATTTCACAAAAATGTGTCAGGGAAATCAGGAAAATGTCAAGGAATTTCATTTTCTAAATTCTGTGGCAACCCGGTGTTTGGACCGCCTGAAAGGAACCATAAACCACATCAGCTATTGCCAAATTTAACTGGGCAATTTAATTTTTTACAGGAGAATGTTCGTACGAATCCCTTTGACAATTTTAAGGAATTCGCTTCGTGCTTTGCAGGGAATTCACCGGAATTCGCATACAAATCCGCACAACCGTTCGTTTCCGCGTAAAAAATTAAATTGCCCAAATAAATTTGGCAGTAGCTGATGTGGAGTGGTTCCTCTCTGCTTAACGTGGTCCATTTTTCTTTGCCGTAGTAGAGAACATTTTTTTTGGTCACAGACATGAAATTTCAACACTTTAAAGTGTCATAAAGTATTGATTATTTGGAGTAGAAAATGTGAAAAAATCCTCGAACCCACATGGGTGATCGGAAGGAGGACTTGACCGGAAAAATCTTCATATCAGAAAATAGAGGGGAATTCTGTGCACAGTATATGATTTCCTGTGTATTTTTGGCTGCTGGATCCAAAAATGCCCTTTCTATTTTGCACAGATTTCCTGGCATAATTAAATTTCCTATGAAAAAGTCCGTGGGGGGTGATCCGATTTTGCTGGGGCTAATCAAACTGATCCAGAAAAATGGAGGTCATTCGGAATCAGCACTAGAAATCTTCTCAAAAGCAGTCACAGTTTCCGGCAAACCAATTCCTGTTATATTTTCTACATTTTAGCAGCATCTATGAGGATCAAATCAAGTGCACGAAAATCGTCTATTATAAAAGTAGGTAACTTCACACTTCTCTCATCATCATTAATACCTCAAAAAAAGGAAAAGTTCATTTCTTGGGGATATTTTCTGCACATTAATTTTACAAAATTTAATTTTGGTCTCCGAGAGGTCCAATTACTAACTGTCGAGAAAATGTTTTACAGTGGCCACTGTTGAAATATGTTCAAACCAACTATACATTGAACTTTTTTTTCAACACTTGCAATTAGTTGGAAATTGGTAAAATTGTCTCTTGAAGTCAACTTTTCTGTCTAACTGCCATAATTTTCCTTTCACCAGCTTTGTAAATATAGTGAAGAATGGGCGAAACATCTAGCTAGTAAAGGAATTTTAGAGCATCGCCAAAACTCAGCATATGGTCAAAATATCTTCTGCAGTTGGAGTTCTGCTCCAAGGCACACGGTATGTGGCCAAGAACCAGTCGATAGCTGGTATGAAGAAATCAAATTTCATCCTTTTGGAAAAGAGCCCAGCTCTCTAAAATCAGGCAAGTTTATTTTTTTCTCTCAAGGCATAAAGAAGCATTCACCAATAGCATAATTTCAATGATGCATTGACAAAAATTACCCCTATTTAAATACGTTTAGGTTTAAGTACTATGTGAGAAATAGCATAGATGCAAAAATATAAAACTCCCTCTGGCTGAACATAAAACCTGGAAAAGATGCAATTGTTCTTAATACATAATTCAAAGTGGTTAGGTTTGAGTTCAAAAAATAATTTGCTGGTTTTACAAAGGAGGGCATGTAAACTGGTACCTACATGTTCAGTCAAACCAGCCATTCATAATCAATCTATGGAAAGACATTGGTTTTATGAATAAATTCTGACAGCTTTCCTCTTGAAAACACTTAAAACATCACTAGGATTTAGAAAATCAAGTATGAAAAGAAAGCATCCTCCTGAATAGCTTGCTTCAAATGGGTGAAGTTAATTTGAGGAGAGATAACTGGTGTTTTTGCGTGGGAATTTTTTTTAAGTCACCGAGGTCAGGTCATGTTTCTGTTAGATTTTTTGCCTTTCCACTAAATTTACCTTCTCTTTCACTAAAAAGAGCTAATTTCTGGAGAGAAAAATCTACACAATACTATCAAATGCGAAAAGTGTCCAACTGTCCACCCATCAAATTATTGACAAAAGGAGGTTTTTTAGCTGTTGTAAATTAGCTTACTGTGTTCTCTAATTTTCCCATAGGTCACTTCAGTCAAGTAGTTTGGTTAACCAGTGCTGAGCTGGGAGTGGGAGTGGCAAGGAGTAGAAATGGACAAATATTTGTAGTGGCCAATTATGATCCTCCCGGGAATTTTTTGGGTCAATTCTCTGAGAATGTCCCTCCGCTTGGGTAAGTATTTTTCCTGATCAACTGAGTAATACTGATCAAGTGAGCAGTATTGTCTGTGGTCTGATTTCAAGGCCATGTCTTTCCTCCTCTTTCTTCTCTCTTCTAATTTTGAGCGATTTCCATTTTTTAGAGGTAATAACTGTGTTCTGGTACACACATTAAAAATAATCTTGAGCTCGATCATATTCATCAAAACTTTTCGTACTTGGAACAAATGTCATAAGATCTTCATGAAAGTGTTCCGAAATCCTCTGCCTTCTATCAGGATGGTACTTATCTGAATTTTTGTCAGGAGTGTGCCTTGAGTAAAATAATACACCAGAATTTTTGACGAGTTTAATCACCAGAAAATTTACATTTTACTGGATTTTCCATTTGAAAACAGTTTCAACGAAATTGAAGTAATAATTGATTTATTTGATTTAAAATGCCTCGTTTTCCAATGAAAGTAAAGTTTGATCAAAAGCTGATCAGAAGTTTAACTGCAAGTTGTCACTCGAAAAAAATCTCTCCTTTCCAATTTTGATGNTTGACAGCCGATGAACTGATCGTCTCTCCAAAAACAATACACACCATGTTTACACTTGTGTGGCAACAGCGACATAGAAGTTTCGGCCGTAACCGCACTTTGTTTACGTTATCTCGCGGTCGCTGCGCGCCGCGATGCCCGGGCCGCGAGCCGAACCAAAAGCTTTACCGTCTCACGAGCGCTCTACAAACCACGTCTGCACAGTTCGAAAGATCAACACCGAATCGATGGAACTATCTAAACAGAATTCATAAATTTACTCATAAAAATTGTTTCATCACTTGTGTAGCTTTTAATAGAATTAGCTCAACCACGCTGCATTTTTTCTGATTTCTACTCTTGTCTGATTAATTTCTTCAATAGCAACTGGGCAACTTCCTGCCGCGAAATTTTGTGAAAATATTTTTTGTAATGTACTTACTGGAAATTCATATGCCTTTGCTTTAAGTTTCAAGGCTTCCTTTTTGGTTCAAATATCAATAAGGAAAAATATAAAAGGCAACAAAAAATAGTCAGGCTAATTCAGGTTGAATCATCCCATTTACATTAAGACAAAATTAACAAAAAGAATGTAGTAACTTGATTTTTTCATTAAATTGTTTTTAATAGAGAATCGAATTTTAACTGTTAATATTTAATATTGTTTTAGCGGTTTTCCAAAATTCTCTGAGGATTATGAAAAAAGTCTGTTAAAACAATATGATGCCAAAACTTTCACCAAAGAAGCTCTAGACATCCATAATGAATATAGATGCAAGCATCATGTGCCAAAACTTATTTTAAGCAAAAAGGTAAGATCTTACTTATTCCAGCTTACACACACTACCCAGCCAAAAACAAACGAGCTGTCACTATTGGTTTTGAAAAAATCAAATTAGCTACAGCCTCAATGTAATCAGTACATTGTAACCAGATGTGCATGCATACTGACTGCCCAGTCGAAGGTGGACCACTAGCAAGAGTCTATTTTCACCACAACTGTCAAGTAGAATGTATATGTTACAACAGTGTACGAGGGGCTCTACATGTGGGAAAAATATAGTGATGATATCCACAGCCAGATGCAAGATCCAGAATTTTTAAGATTGCATATCACTTTGTTAAACCTCTTGGCAGTTTTCTTGTTATGTCTTGAAACAGCAAAAATATAGGCACAACTCTTATACTTTCACTTCTGATACTTATCATGTAAGTTGAGAGAGGAGAGACTTCTACTTAAAGTTAATCGACAGTTTCAATACATTGATATTCCTTACGGTTATGTATGTTAAGTACATTCCATACTCTTCAATTTTTTAAGCAAGGCAGATGAAAGAGAATCAGTTTGAGACTTTGGAAAATGAATAAGTTAATTTCCTTAAATAACAAATTCATAAACATTCTTGTGAATCACACAAGATTAAGGATTTGTCACTTACCAAATTTTAAACATAGGACCGGTATCGATAAGGGCCATTTTTGGGCCAGCCCAGCTGAATTTCCTACACTCGTCGATTATTTGCTCATTGAAGTTCTATATTTTATGTAATAGATAATGCATGAATGGTCATCTCCAGTTTTTTTTCCGGTCTCTTACTACCCTAATCATGGGTCTGAAGGCCGATTTTGGCGTAAAAGGAGGGTTTGGTGCATCGAATGGAAAACAAATCCGCATTTTCCGCCTACATCTGCCTTCAAACCCATGTTAAGGCCAGTATCAGACCTAAAAAAGGACTGGAAATGATAAAATTGTGATAAATTCTGAAGAATATAGACCTTCGATGAGCAAAAATTTGTAGATTTGAGGAAATTTAACAAAAATTAAACGAATAAAATTTAAGTAAACCTTGTAAATCCTCATAATCTTTTCAATAACAATTACCCCACTTGTATGAGTTAATAAAATTACAAGTACTCTTCAGTGCTCTTAGGCCCTAGAATGGCCTGTATCCATACTCTTTCTTTGAGGGACAAAATATATGAATTCAAGCCAGCCTTCTTCAATACATATTCATTTTCTTAATTTAATAGGGACTTATTTGGTTTGTACATTTTCAGTTATGTGATTATGCCAAAGAATGGGCACTCATTTTAGTTAAAGATGAAAAACTGTCACATAGAGATAGCAGGTACGGGGAAAATATTTTCAGTATGTGGTCCTCTGGTCGAGTTACTGCCAAAGATGCCTGTGAAAAGTGGTATGAAGAAGGGAAGGACTACAACTATTCAGTAGAACCAAGGAATCTAAAATCAGGTATCTTTAAGTATTACAAATAAAATTACTTTTTTCTGCTCGAAAACAGGGCTATGAATACTTTAGCAGCTGGTGAAGAACACCCAAGAATAGTATTTTTTTTTACTGAGAAGCACCGCAAAATCTATTGTGCAAAAAAATCAAAAGTAAAAATAAAATGAATAGTAATAATGGCACTCTATTCCAATGAGTAGAGCTAAAAATTATTTTCAGATATTTCTGGAATTTTTTTCTATGAATGGTTGGAATGTGAAAATGTTGCTTGATTTTTCAAACTTTGGAGAGCTGTCTCTCCACGGTTAAGCAATGGAGCCCTTGACAGGGTACGAATTTAAGCATTCCGATACCTTATCAGAATGTCCTGTAGAACACAATTCTCGCATTGAAAATTACTGAAATTAACTTCTATCTAAGATATTAACGTTTCTATTTTACGTTGGCTATGGGAAAATTGAATTATCCAGTCAAAAGAAATGTAATACTCTTTGCGAGTCCAGTCACGTACTGCAATGATTTTGGCAGACCTCTCAATCGAGCACTGTCCATTTTCCACCCTGTATCGTTCAAACCATAAACAACTTACTATAGCAGAGCCAAAATGTCAAGATTGAGGTTGCCAGTTTTTAATATCGCAGAGACTGTCATCATAACGTTTAATGCACAATTTGACTCAAACAAACCATTGCATTTTCATGCGCAAGAGATTTGAATTGACGGGTCAAGGAACAATAAACATCTTAGTTAGCAGTCACTTTCAGTTATTTTCGTTGCGCGAATTGTGTCCTACGTGAAATTTTGGTTAAGAAACATGTATAGAATGCTTGACTTCATACCTTGTCTAGTGGTCCATTTTGGAATCAAAATTTGAATTTGAGAATCTTATTATGACCTGAAGAATGAACTCTTGATTTTGATTAAAAATAATCTCTCTTTAACGATCGTGCTTCCATGAGCCCTTGCACTTCAGATTTATAATTGGGAATTTTTTCCCTGTAGTCTTTTTGTCTTCCTCTTTCCCTTTGTTTGGGGTAGTCAAAATAGTGATGATTTCAGGCTTCTGTTTTTAGTATGCTTAGTTTGAGTGAGAGAAGATCTCTTCAGGAATCATTTTATATTCATATCTTATACATGTGTGTGTGTGTTTTTCAGGTAATTTTACTCAGATGATCTGGAAAAGTAGCAAAGAAGTTGGTTTTGCAATGATCAGAGGAAAATCAGGTAGAGTTGTCATCGTCGCCAATTACCACCCTGCTGGAAACATATCTGGCCAGTTTATTGAGAATGTCCTCAAACCATGAAACTATAAAAGATACAATTCGGCATATGAGGTAACTTTCCGAGCGCCTAATCAGAAATAATGCACGCATCACATCTAATGTTCAAAGTTCTTTTACTCTTGGAAAATAATTCAGTTTTAACGTTCGCAGATTCTAACTGTGATTCGCTCATAAAAAAAAAATTTTCTCCTGAAGTATCACAGATAAGTGTGAGTCCTCATCTTGTGGGATAGAGAGGGGGAAGACACTGTCCTGATTTTGACCATGTGTGAAATGTTTGGTAATGCTCTGTAGGTCTCCTTTAAAGTAATTGTTGCCTTGTTATTATCAGTTTCAAAGTTCCTCTTTCTTAATACATATTTGTGCCTAAAATTTCTTTATATTAAGTAATGAATTATTCCATATCGAAGACGCTTAATCTTCATGCTTTATGTTATTTTAATTTTAATTCTTCTTTTTTCCCTATTATACAAATAAGGTACTGAATGTTGTTGCTTCAGCTATGTGGAATGCCATACATGTAAATATTTTCTTTTTTCCCTTCTGTTAATTTTAATTTCTTAAAAGGCTGAGTCTCATAAACCATTCCAAGGAACCTAACATTCCTCTACAGTGTACCTATCAAACTTGCATCTGCATGTTTTGACTTCCAATCGCTTATCTATAATTTGTCCATTTTTCATTGATCTCAAGAAAATTAAGGAAGTAATTGATTATGTAAAAAAGATAAATGACTGAGTGATTTACTAAAGAGAGTATTTCTTTTCATTACAAATCATACATTTTTATTTATCATCATTACACTTGTTGTTTGTATATAGTGTTTAAATCTATGACATCCATGGAAAACTTGAATAAAATGGAAAGTTAAAAGGAAATTCATTAAAGAAAATTTTGATAACAAATTTTAGACGAACTTAATTATACATGAACATTGTGATTTGTTACTAACCTAGAAATACAAGCTCTTTGATCCTCTGAAATACTTGAATTTAGGCTGGGCCCATAAGAATCGGTAGCCTTTTAAAGTTTAGAAACGCCTTAATTTAAGGAAGAAAAGAGATGAGAAAAGAACTTTTATCTTCATTCAAGCCAAAACTGAGATTTCAATCACTCCTACAAAAATGAGACCTTTACCATGATTCCAGGACTGACTTTTGGAAAAGTTCGAAGCCGTGAGGAACTTGCATTTTTTTAATAATTGAATTCTTAGAATGGAAAGGAAGAATCATAGGGCTATCAGTTAGGTCTCAAATTTCTATAGATCTTAGATATAAGTATTATACACTGATGTGTACACTTTCTGCAAATTGATCTTTGGACTTAGTAATTTAAAAAATTAAACTGATAATAATCTGCTAATGTTCCGTGCGTTGAATACATATCTGGAATGAAACTACCAGACCACATACGTCGGTGTGTGACGTTGCACACTTCCTGTCATAAAGTCATTTTTAAATAGAGAACTACTAAACATTAATTCTTGAAAACTTCCGTGATTATTCATCTCTATGTGGAGAAAACACTGTGAAGTCAAGGAACGAAATTTCTCCTTCAAAAAAATAAAATAGGAGTGGAATTTTTTAACCACCCCGAATGAGATGCTACGTCTGGTAGTTTCACTATCGATATTTTTAACCACCTCCTTTTATAATCGTAAAATTTTGCAGAATGCAGATGAGGCTCTTTTCTCATTTCAAGTCATGAATCAAGATTGTGGTAATAAAGCGATGACTTTTACTCTTGGAATACTTTACCATTGACTAGTAGATTAATTGATATTAGTGATTTATTTAGATATGGTGACCAATATCTTGTGATTTAATCTAGTTTTTAAGGATATTTTTTTCCTACATGATGTGACTGACTGCATTATATTGTATCAAAAGTTTTGTAATTTAACATCACAGTTTATAAATACGTGAATGGTATTTATTACAAATTTTGTTGCTTCCTCTGTTACTTATTGATACCATTTTTTTTTATATTTAACGAAAATAAAGTTGATTTTTCTCCATTGAATTTGAGGTAAGATTTCTCTGTAAGTAGTATTCATCATCATTTGGAGTTTCAAAGAAGTCTCATCCAGGTGTAAAACGCATAGTAAAGCTCTAGTACACACAATTGACAAGTTTTACCTTTAAATGGCCGTTTATTTTTAAAACTGCAGATGCAGTGCTTCGTTTGACTAATAACCCACAGATCTAAAAATTGTTTGAACTGAGGATTGACTGCAAGTATTCTTAAGAAACTATTGTGACTTTGCCGGGAGCCATGTGTAAAATTTGCTCGGAAATCACACTCATGCCCCTAACAGAGCTAAAATATGCTAACTTAGAAACAATTGAATTGCATTTAGCAAAAAGGAACCAGCGCTATTACAATGTTTTAAAAATACTCAGTATATTATACAGTGTTAAAATTTACATGATTATTTTCCTTCAAAATTGAGAATTTTTTGGCGGAAAGAAGAAACTATTTGTTATTCTGGGGGATTTTTTAGAAAATTATGAAGAAGCAACATTTCTACGACACTGTAATTGCGCTGGTTCCTTTTTGCAAAATGCAATTCAATTAACCTTACTACACTATAATTCAAGTGCAGACTTTTCTTTGGCAAACAGCCTGATGTGCAGGCAAGGCACTGTCTGTGCCTTCAAACGTTAAGAAGCACCGACTTTTTCCTTGAATTTCTGGAAATCGAACCGTAGTGCGTCGGTTTCATGAATATGGGAGATAATTCATGTAAAAGGTTCTTTTTTTCTTTGGAAGTGAGATGAAACACCAAGAATCTAAGTGGAAATTAGATTTAAAATGTTTGCACCTACACTTTAGAGCTACAATTAATAAAAATAAAGGCTCTTCTTACTTCCATTAATTTTTAGGGGCTGCTGAAGGTGTTTCGATTTTCAGTGGCTGAATGTTCAGTTCTTTGAGCAAATCATCTAATTTCTGCTCCCATCTTTGCTCAAAATATACGTTGAGAAGGAAATGACTCGTAAGCCCAGTTTTGATGGCCCACGGCAAATTTTGTGTGACATATGCTAGCCTTTGTCTGAAAGAATAATAAGACAAACAAGAAAATTAATAAAAACCACTATTTAAAATAATATCAGAGTGAAAAAGTATCATTGGCTAGAGTCGAAAAATGCATATCTTAGGTTACGTTGACTCCCCTGGTATTTTATTTGTTAACATGGTTTCTTTCTTCCACCTTGGTTGCAACCGTATTTCACAATAAGCGACCATTGCAAATGAGTGTATCACTGACTGATGAAAAGAAGGTGGAAGAGACCATAATATGCACCACCATGGTGGATGAGTTCGTACGCCGTGTTTCTCAATAGATATCTCCGTTCATATTGGTCACAGAAACTGGACGTTGGAGCAGATTTTATTATTTTTGGCTAATGTACGAACTTAAACCTCAAAAACCGATTCTGAGGCTAGTGCAACTGACCAATAGCACTGGAAAATTGTATTAGAGAAGAAAAAACAAGGTATCTGATGAGAGGAACTTACTTTGGTTTTAATCTGACTGCACCAAAAAGTCCACCTCCAACGCACATCGGCAGCCCAAATTGAAGTGCCTCAACCCATTTTACAGTCACCTCACCTTCATGAAACAAAAAAGAACATATTAGCTATTTGAAACACCAATTTCACTTGGCAGCAGCAGGATTGAGCAAGAAATTTCCCAAAATCCAGATTAAATTTAAGCTAAATACATCCTTAAAGTAGATAGGTTTAGTTACAAACGGCTCAATGTAGATGAGTTTGTAATGTTAAATGATGTCAGCTTCATTTTCAATTTTTTAGAGTGATTTTAAGTAATCTGGGGACAAGATTTGCCACTGCATTGCGCGGCTACACAGCCAGTGTCTTTAAGAAAAAATAATTATTATCATGCACAAAGTACCTACTGCAAGGAACTGATTCATGAAGTGTTGCAGTATTAAGAAGTGATAGTATGACATCAAACTTGTGAAGATTTATTGAAGATGTAGATGAGAAACTTCCTTAGGGGACATTGCTCATTGACTCAATATGTAAGAGAGAGAGAGAGAGATAATGTCATAATATCCAGTAAATTCTGATGCAAATTTTCCACGAACCCTCACAATTTGATGTCATGCTACTTAGTATTAATGCTGTGGCACATTATGGATCAGTTCCTTGCATTAATTAGTACAGTATAATTATTGCCTCAAAAAATACAGACTGTGTGACAGGGTGTAACATAGTGGCGGATCTTGTTCCTAGAGCCTTTGCATGAACTAAGAAATGGAAAATGTCACAACCCAAAAATTTTCTGGTTTGTCGAAATATTTTATGCTGAGATTATATTCAACATCATCGTTATTATTTGTATGTTCATCGAAAGTAAGAGCAATGATAGTCCTTTTCTCTTCTTTTTCTCCTATCATTCTTCTTGCTTTTGAGAGTTCCTGTACTTTGAGTTTCATCACAGCCAATAAAATAAAATAGAAAAACTGTTTACCTAACATGTTGGTGGGCATTCTGAGAATGGCGTGAATGAGATCATGAACCTCTCGATACCTCTGCATGACATATGCTAGCTGCTCGTCATCTACAAATTGAACTGCAGGTCTCGAGTCAGGGGTAACTTTCTAGAAGGTACGGCAAGAACAACCCAGGTTAGTTTCACTTCAAAAACATGGTTTAGAACTCCATAGCTTTTATTTTTAGCTTTTGGATAGGGTCTTAATTTTATTCAAGAAAAAATTATATTAGAATAAACTTAATTTTATTGGCTTTTAGCAAAGATATGAAACCTTGCTGCAGTTTTTAATTGAGTACACTTCCGTTTTGTAGAGCTATCTAAATTCAACATTTGCGTACCTAACATATCTTTTAATTGATTCAGTAATCATAAAAATGAATTGATGGCTATATACTGAAAACAAAAGCATGATTCAATTACAGCTTTTCAAAATTTACATTTATACTTTAATTGTTTGAAGAAAGCTGACCGATATTTTAGCTTGAAATTTTGAAATTCTTATTGTGACAAGGTGAATAAAAATTAAAGGAGACAGCTATAAATTATAGCAAGTAATTTTTTTTTGTAAAAAATAATAAACAAAAGGAATTTTTGGAACATTTCATTCGGAGATATATGTTTTGAAAACCTAGCCCTTAAAACGAGGGACTGGTTGCACAGATTTGTACATCAAAGAATAGAGTGTATCATATGGAATATGAAAAAAAAAAAAAAAAAAAAAAAAAAAAAAAACCTGTCAAAAGCTGACTAGGGAGCAAGCCTTTGCAAAACAAAGATACCCCAAATTTAAAGAATAATTTTAATAGGTATTTTCCATGCGGCCATCTAGAAAAAGAACACCACAGCATAAAAGGAAAAATCAGAGAGAGGAAAATTGAGTTAACGCTGAGTAAAACAAATTACATTTTTCTGCAAAAAATCTATGTACACTCTTCCAACTGTGCCTTTGGGGAGTGTATTGAGACTCTGGAGATCCACAGTGGATGAATTGATGCGAGGTTGTTCCCTGAAAATAAAAACAATAGTTCAAGTAGAGTCTACACATCATACATTTATCAACTTTTGGGTTGCAACCAAAGATCTGGGGCAGAATTTTATTGAGGAAAAAAGGCATACTAAAATATATTTTGAATGAGTATCAATTGCTAAGTCTAGTCCAGGGTTTCTAATTGGTCAGCGGAGCAGTTTCAGCTCATTTCCGGATAAAAAGGCTGACGAAATTCGGTCCCGGCTATGTCTACTCATTACGACATTGACACTAGATGCAAGAATCAATGGGGGGACCTTCCCTTACTCTAAAGGTTAGTCCACCTATGTTGTGAAGAACTCTCCTGCAATTGAAATTTTTTTCATTTTTTCTTTGTGTTCTTTCTTCCTTTTGTCTATGTGGTGATTAAATTCCAATACCTGTAAAAGAAACGTCTTCGGGTGGGTGGCGTACGGGGACAGTCGTCCGGTTTGCTCTGGGTCCCCCCTTGAAATCGACAACAGATTTTCCTAATCATGATTTGAAAAATAGAAAGAAGGCAAGTTGGGAGAGAAAGCATGTTTCTTACCTAAGAATTTGTTGGCCTTCTGAACTGCTCTGCATTTTTTGCAACATGCGCTCTAGAGCTATAGGTCCTGTTGTTTCACCTAAAACTGCAATCATGTCTGAAAAAGGAACACATATATTTCTGATTTATGTATCATTTTGTTAGGATAATAACCTGCTCCTTACGTAATGAGAATCTTTCATCAGGGGGGATACTTAACCCTTTAATTTTTTCTCTGACTTTCTATGCCCATTCTTTTTGGTTCCTCACTTAACTTTCTAATTTTCAAAACGCCAACAGTTATTCATGGAAAATCCTAAAAACAATTAATTCAACTCATCCTTCACACTTTCATATGAAGACTGTGTGAACTTGTGAAGTAATATTTTTCTGTCTATGTCAGGAGAGAGGTGCATAACTACCTACTGCAATTTCATCAACGGTATTGAGATGGCGATGAAGATCCAAGTAGAACTTGGACAACATGTTTTCAGTGAAATTAAGTGGGAAGAATTTAAAAAACCACCACCGAACTACTCTCTTGGTGTGATTGGAAATGATTACTAAGGGCGAGGTGCCAGCAGACCTATGCTGCCACTTTATAATTTTTAAAATTCCTCAGCTCCTGATACACCAAAAAGTTTGTATAGACTTTCAGCTCAGTAACCTTGAGTTACTCATGTCTGTGCTGAACCTAAGGTTTGACTTGATGCACCTATTTTCGGTAAAATAATTTGAATGAAAATTAACCGTAAATCAGTAGATGCTAATGAAAAACAGAGGCATTGGCTGTAGAAAAGGCATTTCTTGGTTGCTGTGTTTCAGATCTCCAATGCTGATTTTTATTTTACCTAGAGAGGAAACTATTGGATAAATTTTCTAAAATTTGTAGTTTTCAGCATTTTAAAATCATATGAAGAATTCAATGAGAGTTTTAACGAATTCCATGCATTTACTTTAATCATAGTGGATGAAACATTAACAGAGATCCTGAGACAGCGCACCCAAGAAATGCCTTTTCTACACTTAGTGCTTCAAATATCAGCATTATTAAACAATAAATTCGGTCGTTACCTAAGAGAATGGAGAGGCCGTAACTAGTCAGTTTTGTGACGTCAAGCTAGTAGATATTTACCGAAAACAAGAAGCATCTCCAGGTCATCGATGCATCGATGAGTGAGGCAGTCACTGCGTTGACCAATCAGAGTGGCCCTTGATAGGCCGAAGTTGAGTAAGTGGCACGTTTGAATCTGAGAGGAGTAATGATTTTCGGTATTAAGCTTTTATTTCCTCAATTATCAGACGATGTCACATATGGGTTAGTTGCTTTTCTGAAGTAAAATTTTATCTTCTTTCGAAAAGGTTCTTAAGAATTTTTGCATCAAATCAACCCCCAAGACGATATCGGCATGAAAGAAACACTCATCAGGCGTTCTCCTATAAGAACACATGTTAAACGGCGGCCGAGTTTCATCTACTAGCATGGCATCACAGGAGCGTAGTTAAGGCCTCTCCATTCTCGTGGGCAACGCTTCAGTATTCACTGTCAATACTTTCACATTGCTTACCATATTGCTATACTTACTATGACATTGTTAACTATATCTGCATTGTGATAAAAAATAAATCTGGAATAAATTTACAGCGTTACTGCTGTGGGCAGCACAATACTTGCCTAAATCTTAGAAATCTCTTGAATTACTTACCGCCTCTACTTGGGTCCAGTAAGGAGACAGATGCGGAGCCAACTGACAACAATAATTTTTGAAAAAGGGTTGTCTGTCTGTGATTTTGGATGAAAGCATGATGAAAGTTTGAATTGATTTCTGTGTGTGGACCCCCAGTAGTTGTGGAGCAGAAATGAGCAACGTTCGAGAATTTTTTACTGACAACAAACGATCTCGGCAGAAATGACATGATAAATATCTACTCTTAAAATGAATGTAAAGTCCTTTGAAAGGAACTTCTTTTTAAATTCGATTTTTCGTATTACACAACTGAACACAACAACACTTATCCGAACTAACCTTAAAAATACCTCGCCCTATTGAGTGAACAGATTGGCCCAGATATTCCGGACCACATTTCACCAAAAATTGCTGTTTGTCAAACCGCCGTCAACACCTACCTACACCTACCAAGCGGCGAGTAGGCCTTCGGCCATGCTCGGCAATCTTCGTAGCCAATCAGGTTGCCGCTCGCCGCCCGTAATCTCGAAGAAGGTTCGGCTCCTACACCACCCTACACAGTGTTCCCAGGTGCTCCTATCTTAAAATGTCCGTACGCTCTCCAGATGAACTCGGGGAGGCTCGTGTATATCCGTGCCGCTCCGTGCTCCGTCCGTGTTCCGTGAATTCCGTTTCCGTTTCCGGTTCCGGCTCCGGCTGTTTTGTTGTTTTGTTGATGTTGATGTTCTCTTGATCTCTTGTGACATTCAAGTACAAGCGGGATCGTTATTCCTGCGAAAAATAGTTTTCCGTAACCCGCCGTACACGACTCAGTTGACCACAGGAGATTACCCGGGCCCGAAGTCATGTTAGTGAAGAAAGCCTTTCCTCTCATTGATATCGCACCTTCNACGCACCCAGCTCAATGAATGTTAAAATTGTTTGAAAGTGTAAATACGAAAAACCACGATTTTCGTTCATCAAAGGGAATTGCGCACCTTCCAAAACTTAAGGGGATGACCCAAATTTCTTTCAGTCTATTCTCGTCACCAATCTTACAGAATTTCTACGAGGAACCAAAATCCAATACCAAAATTTTTATCTTGATCATTCTAACCGCCCACCGTAACCAGTAGATTACAGCTGTATAAAATTTCTTGCCAACTTTTCCTCTTTTCAAGGGGGGTTAAACAAATATTTTGACAAATGAAATTTTTAAATCTTTGGTTTCTAACTTATTTCTATCCCAAAAGATAGGAGGAGATCCCCTTTAGCTTCTCACTATTTGGACCACATTTTGTAATAAGGAGCCACATTTCTAACTCATTTTAGAAACAGCATATCGACGGTGTAAATCGGCAATCACATAGGTAACTCGTTTGCAGTGTCTGAAAATCTCCGCCTCTATGTTATTTTTTTAAAGGAGAACAAATTGACATCACTCCATGAAGTTTTTGCAGAATTTTCTTCGCACAGAGAAGAAAAATCACGGCAGTTTTAAAGAATTGCCGTCGAGTAGTTTTCCATTTAAAAAATAAAGTATGATAGGAAGTCTGCGACGTCGCAAACCGAGTAATGTGATTGCCGACTTACACCGTCGATATATGCCATTGGTTTCCCTGTGTAGAGAGGTGCTTCTATGGAAGAGGCAGAGATTGTGGCTCCTTGTTGTAAAATGCAATCCATTTCATGACAATACGCTCAGTGTGTGTATCTAGAATTTGATGACAGCAGCAGTTGCAATAGGTTTCCTGTGTTTCGATAGTGCCTTTACCTTTTATTGAATGAGGGTTCTTCACAGGGTCTTCTTCTTTCACAAAAAGTATATTCAATAATATTTTCCTCTTATTTGAGGTATACTTACAAAGTGTGTGTGGACCAGTTGAGCTAAATTGCAACTTTGTAGAACGTTTAGTTCAATATTGGCAAGACTTGCGCATGCAGTGTCTGGCGATTGGGTTGAAAGTGATTTTCATGAGCATCAAGTGCTCCAGTTTGGTTACCTACCTGATAGAAATGTGACCGACTGCTCTATCAACTTTTTGCGTAATGTTCATGAACAACATTTTTCATCAAAAACTCAATAAGGTACATGATTTTTTCCCCCTGAAAGAGATAGGTAGGTAATTTATTGCTTGAAAGTTGCGGCCAGACTCTGGGTTCATGGTAAAAAAAAGTTTACAATCGCTTACATATTTTGATAACAAATTCTGCATTAGTGCGATGAAACTTTTTTCATAAGTTTTATAATAAATCTATATTTTCTATTACTTGATAAGAATTTGATGTTTTCTAATGTGAATAAACTTGAATAAATACCAAATTTTTGTTGCCTTTCTACAATTTCAAATTCAGATCCAATTTAAATTTCTATTTAATTTTTTGTGTTAATTTTAACTCTTGAATAATCTGGTATATTGCTCTCATCATTGAGTTTGCTTATAATTTATTTTCCAGATCTATATTGAACCTCAGGTTCAAATTCATTGCTCAGTCGTTTTTATTATCAATATTAAATGTGATCCTCTGTACTAAGATCCTTGTATTTTATCTCATTAACTCAATTGATTTCTTCGTATTTTTAAAATTTCAAATTCAGATCCAATTCTTAAAAGCTTTTTTGCTGTAGGGAGAGTAATTGCTTACGCAAGGGGGACAAAAACCCCGAAATTTTGCTGTTACGTAGCAATGAATCAAAATTTTAAGTTCTACTGCTTCGAGGCAAAACAAAGTGAAACCTATGTTGAGTACCTATTTGGGTTAAATGGCTACATTTTAGCACATTGAGTTTTGTTTCCCCAAAACTTGTAGGAAGCTGTGTATGGCGACGGCAACATTTTTTAAAAAGGACAATTTTCACAAGCAACATGTAGTGCTCGAGTTTTCTATTTTTCTATTTGAAAAAAATATGGAGAACGCTGCTATTCTTCTATTTTTGTTTTATAAAGAAAATGGTCAGTCAAAAACTTGATGGTGCAAAGGTTTTACTCGCTTTAAAAATTGTGATCTATTGCTCAAAAGTCAGCCATACTCTTTAAAGCTATTAATAGTTTGAACCGATGGAAATCTGTATAAAAATCTACATATCTGTATGCCAAGATCATTTGCAAAAATTTATTGCACTTGCAGAGTTGACCCGTGGGTCATGGAACAATGTTGAATGCATTAGTGCAACAAGAGTTGAATATGAGATACACTGCAGCCTAATTTGTCCCTAACTTCAAAATGAAGCCGAACTGTCAATGAATTACTATTCTCCAGTTCACTTTTGAAATAATGTTCATGAGATCCCTGTTACAATGAATTTTGTAGTAATCACACGAGCAATTACTTTTAAATTAGATAAGACCAATAGCTATGAGATTCTGAGAGCAATTGATGAATTAAAAAATAAGGAATCAGTTGGTCATGATGGTAAGAACAACTGGCTTTTGAAAGAATGAAAAGAAGAACTAGTGCCCAGTCTAGTTCGCTTATTAAATTTCTCATTGACATCCTGTGATTTCCCAGCCCATTTAAGTATGCCCTCTTTAGAAAAGGTGATTGTAGGATCTTAAGTAACTATAGGCCTCTGTCTCTTGTTTCATCTATTTCCAAAGTTTTTGAAATTGTCATCAGCAATAAACTAATTACATAAGTACCTGCAGGCAAACAATTACCTTCATAACATTCAGATTTCATTTCAGACAGAATATGTCCAGTGACGTGGTTATAAAAACAGCAGTTGAGAAAATTGCTGAAAACAATAAAATTAATTGGAGTATTCGATCTTTCAAAGGATCTTGATCCCATTAACTTTTAGGGCTTGAGGTTGCTAAGGCTAAGACTTGATAAGTTTACAGCGAGAGAGAAATAAAAAATAATGCGTTGTAATAAATAGTAAAATTTAGGAATATATTTCCTCTTTGATGGAAGTTCTTTTTAGAGTATTTCAGGGGTCAGTCTTTGGCCCTGTTTTATTTCTTGTATTTGTGAATGATTTCATTTTCCCTTTGAAACTTAAAGTTAGCATGAACAAAATTTTGTCTTCATTTGCTGATGATATTCTTTATGTTATTAGGGACAAACTCCTTGAAATTCTCGAGATTGATTCGTACATTATACTTAACTGTATACCTACTCAACAATAAAACTGACAAACTCTGATAAAATTAACTTCCTTGTTTTTCACAGTGTTTCCTACTTTGATGCAATAAGACAAAATCATTGAAGAAGCTACCTCATTGAAATACTTTGGCATTATGTTAGATAAAAATCTTAAAATGACTGAACACATTAAAAATTAAAAAACTAATCTCAACCTTTAAAAATTAAACTTACTAATAGAGCATTAATTGGACCGCGTTAAACAGAAAGGAACCAAGCCACATCAGCTATTTCCAAATTTGATCGGGCAATTTAATTTTTGACATGAAAACGGTTGTGCGGATTTTCGTGCAAATTTCAGTGAAAATTCTCCATGGTACGAAGCAAATTCCTTAAAATTTTCAAAGAAATCCGAAAAACGTTCTCTCGTAAAAAATTTAATTGCCCAGTTAAACTTGGCAATAGCTGATGTGGCTTAGTTCCTTTCTGTTAAACTCGGTCCAATTATCCTAAATTATTTATCCTAAATTTTTTTATTGTGCGGGGATTTTGCATGAAAGATGACTTACTGACAATGTCTCTTTCAGTCTTTTTTCAGTCTTCAGATAAACGAGGGGGCTGGTTTTCCCGGATGGGCCGGCGGCGTTTTGGCCATCCCCAAATAGGCTTTCTCTTCAAAACAGCACTTAAAGCTGCCGTCTGTTCAGCAGAAGAAGAAGTTTCCTCGCTCACGCAGACAGTAGTGGTAGTTTGGACGTTTCTCACTGAAGTGGACACAGGAGAATGAAAATTCGAACTTTTGAGAGGGCTAACCCCACTTGTAACGAGCGGACTAATTGAGGCCAGTGTGGACAAATCTTCTGCGCTTTTGCTCCTCCTTTGCTTGAAGAGATAAGGAAACAGCGATTTGATACCTTTCTTGGCGAATCCTATGAGACCTGTTTGACATGGATTTCCTGAGTCAGACAGACTCCTGTTGAAGGAGACGGACTCATCCAAAGATGTATTCAATCGCAGTAAAGCTGGCACCATTGGAGTGCTATGACAATTGACAAGTTTAAATTGAGAGTCATCAAGATAAAAGTGCGACACATGAGCAGGGTTTGACTTTAGTTCCATCACCTTATTTTCATCTGTACAAAGCACGCTGCCAGCCGCATGATCAGCATTGCAAGATTCAGTGACACATCTGACACTGCTGCTGATTTGATTGCTGTTTGATTTATCTGCCATTGAGACACCTCCTCTTGTCTTTAAAGGATCACTGGAAGCAATCTCATAATCTTGAATATTAGTTATTGGAACATGAATATCAGGTTTTGGCTCCCCATTGTTGTTGACGTTCGGAAGAATCTGGTTCTCTGCTGGTTCAATGTCAGAGATTTGCACTGAATGGTTCTTGACCAATCCTGGGATTTGGGCTGGAGACGGAGTTTTCTCTGCCACAAAAAAGGATTTCCCCTCTAACTCTGAGTCCAAAGGAGATAAATTAAATTCTTGCTCAGAATTTGGATGAATAGGTACATCAGGTTTGATGCGATCACTGGAGGCAACCTCATAATTTTGAATGTTGGGTGCTGGAACATGATCAGGTTTTGGCTCTCCATTGCTGTCGACTTTCGGAAAAATCTGGTTCTCTACAGGATCAATGTCAGAAATTTGCACTGAATGATTTTTAACATGTCCTGGGATTTGAGTAGGCGACGGAGTTTTCTCTACCGCAAAAAAGGATTGCCACTCTAACTCTGATTCCGAAGGAGATAAATTAAATTCTTGCCTGTAATTCTGATGGATAGGTAGATCAGCTTTGATGGGATGAGGTGAAAAAAATACTGTGTGATCTGGTGTTCTAGTGTGGGTGTGAGCATTGGTGGAAGGTGATGAGTTCAAAGAATCTTGCCTGTGATTTGATTCCAAAGAGTCCTTAACTAGAGCAACTACGTTATTGGAGACGTCTATACTTGTATCCATGCATTGAAGGTTAGCTGTTGGCTGTGGGTTGTTTCTGGAAATACTTTCAACAGCTGTGTGATTGGCGTCTATTAGTTGGTCTCTCGAATGAACAAACGCACCGCATTCATTTTCCGCTTCTCCAGCAACATTGATGTCTTCGTTTGAAAAGTTGTCACTTAAGTTAATGCTAGCAAAAGTTGAAGAGTCCCTTGACTTTGTTGCTTCATAAATAGAGACGTGAGTAAAATGAACGTTGTGTTTTTTGGGACAGTGAAATGAAGTGACTGCTTCGGCACAAGGAGTTCCATAGACAGAAATATCCATTGTGTTTTGTGGAGGAGATTTAGAGACAGCATTTTTTACTTCACTTGAAATTAGACAACTTTTTTCAATAGACAAGTTTGGTCTTTTACGCTGAGGTGATAGTGACAGAGTCCGTGAACTCACATTTAGAGTCTGTCTTGGGACCTCAATTTTACTTTTCAGTAATTTCACCCGCAAAGGATCATTCTGGCTGCGAATTGGTGTGCTACTGGATTTGATTTCTTCAAATCGAGGACTTGTTTCAGAGGAATTTTCCTTCATTACTTCTTTGGTGGAGGTTTCTTTGGACTTGAAATCTTTCCTCTTCGCAGTTCTTTTTGCTCGCAAAGGATGAGCATTGGTTGGCATTGGTGTTGGACGCCGTTCTTTGGCTATGTTCATTTGAGCATAGGTTCTCTTATGTACACGATTGATTATTGGTGTGTTTGGATTGATACTTGTTAATGGAACACTTACAATTTTGACACATTCACTTTTAAGGTCTTTGCAGTTACTCACAAGGACATGACATTTCTGGCATATTTCTGGTAACGATTCAACTTCGGATAATTGACTCGGGTGTACTTCAGTCTCGTGAGCATTCCGATGTTGTTTACAGCAGAAAGATTTGACGCAAACTCTGCAAGACTGAAACAAAAGAAATCACTGTTGATAGTAAAAATCTCATAGAATGTGAAAATAACATGATATAACACTCCATCACAAAATCAGTAATTAACTGTATAATTTTTCCCTTGCAGCTTTTTTCATTTTGGCAGAAAATTATTACTTGACATGTAGTCGCTAAATTACAAGGCAGGCTTCAAATTTACAATTGAAGGGTATAGCAGTTAAAGGATTTCAATGACATTTCTATGATTTTCAGAAAACTATAATTAAAGTTGAAAAATTTGAATATGAGCTTGTGACACAAGCTTCTAACTTAAATACAGAAACAGAAAAATAAGCTCTAGTGTTCAGTTTACTAACCAAGTATACCCTGAGATGAGTTTTACTCAAAATAATCATTACATCAGTTTTTGTTATTTAAGGTTTTTTTTTTTTTGGAAGTTCCACTCAACTTGTTTATCCAAGTTACCCTTGAATTAAGCGAATAAGGTATGCACTTAAATTTCAGCGCTCCTAAACTTCTGAGGCAGTTTCTTTTTCTTAAAACATTTTTTTTGAAAAAGTAACATATACTCTGTTAGCATTCACTTTTTGGGAATATTCTTCGTTGGTAAAGGCTTATCAAAATTGTATGCAAAGGCAGCAATTTGAAAACGGACAACGTTACATTATAACGATAAGTAGAAGAGTTTTGAATTGAGATACATAAATGTCTCTCTAGTTTCATGCCAGATATTTGCATTTTCATATTCGTAAATTTGAACTTTTCGTTGTTGATGTATAATGAGTTGCCGTCAAGGAGGTTCATGTACCTACTTTCAGACTGCAATAGAAAGTGTGCCCTCTGCCATCTTGATTCTGGCATTTATTTTCCAAGCTAAAATGACGTCAGACGATCTTCTGGCGTAGTCTAAAAGTTCTGAAACCTATTTGGCATGGACTCATGCATTGTTTACCAATGATGAATTACTTGCAGTCATAAACGGCATGTCCGTTGTTTATTGACGGAGAGGTATAAAATTTCAGATTTTAATGGGACAGGAGAAGTGATTTCGCTATTTCTTTTCCAAATTACTATTAACTTCTCAAACATGCAATCAAAAGTGGGAATAGTAGACATTTGGGATAATTGGACGTATTTCTGCCAAACAGAACTATGTGCATTAAGACATGAGCCCTGCGACCCATAAGAATACATCCATAACAGGGCTCACGTCATAGCGCACATAGTTCCGTTTGGCAGAAATACGTCCAATTATCGATGGATTTGGATTGAACTCGATATTTTGGTATGAGAAAATGAATCTTTCATAGGATTTTTGAAATGCCAAATCTCCTCAACGTAGAAGCAGGAAAATTGAGGAAAATTTCAACCATTCATCGATGCATTTAGCATGAATAACGTAAAACTCAAAAATTCAATGCAACCTGCAATTTCAGTTTTGTTGAAGCGGAAGCCCTCCAGCTACTGAGTCTCATGCAAATCAATTGGTAAGAGGCCATAATACCGAATTTACGCCAATATATCAATGGGATTTTGCAGTTCCAAAATCCGTTGAAAGATTCATTTTTCTTCAAGAGCTCCCAAGTGTGTACAAATCCAGATCCAGTAAGTTTAATACAAATCCACTGATGCATGGATTTTATTTCCAAATCTAATCTCATATCCGTTATTTTTTTTTTGCATGCAAGAAGGTCAAACGAAAAACTGTTAAACCAATCTAATACACAATTGCATGACTTTGAAAACATGTTTAATGGCTATAGTGTCAGCTCCGTACATGTCACCATGGGTAAGGGTTTAAAAGTTTAAACAGTTTCTCTCGCTAGTCAGGAAGATTTCTAAGAATACTATGGTCGCATTTTCAAATTTTAAAGTATCACGTTTTCTAAAAAAGTGTGAAATGGCTTAAAACCTTTAATCAATTCAATTATAGTGATTCTATAAGAGAGTGGCGATGCTTATCGCACACATATTCATATTGAGCATCACTTCAGGGTAAACCGTTACAGACAATTAATAAATTCGAGGAAAACAAAGGAAATGGCTACTGCTATAAAAGTCTCTCTTCGGTTTGTTCCACGATAGTTTTACTCCCAGGATTGGGAGTTGATTAGAGAAGAAAGCAGGAACAGAGAATAAATTCTGGTGAAAAAGAATAACTTAATTCAAATAAGTTCTTACTGTCATTTTAAGTATGAAACAACTTACACTGAGGGGAATAGCATCTTTCCAAAAAGGTTCTTTGAACTCCATAATGACCACCTTCTTCACACTTGAACTGACAATGAGCACGGGAACAGGTAACAGAGTCCTCATTCCACCTGATTGCAAGAGTAGATGAGAGAGATAACAAATCTGGTATCTGACCTTGCTGGAAACAAGAAAACCCTCTCTTCAGATGTGTGTTTATCAGTAGCTTGATGCCCATCATTTTCTATCAAAACATCTTCTTGAAATGGTGATGAATTGGGGAGATAACTCCAGTATCTCTCTAATCTGAGCAGTGTAATATGCAATGTGGAATTCCTGCCAAGAACACCGTATGAATATTCAAGAGTTGCCAATTTTTCCCTCAAAAACATGTGTTTGAGGAAAGTTGTTCATATTTTTCCTTAAAATTTTCAGACATGAAAATTGTCAGAAAATTTTAGAGAAAAATATTCACAATTTTCCAGTGAGTCCAGTTTCATGGAGGGAAATATGGCAACGTCTGAAAGCTCATATGCCGTTCTTCCTTAGTACTGCAGATTTAGAGAAGTTTCTTTGCCGCTCATTGTTAGTGTAAGTACTAGGTTACACAAAAAAGCACTCGATACGTTGTAGCTTTCTTTAATTAATAGGTAAGTTAAACCTTTCCAATTTGGATTGTTGCTCCAAAAAATTTTCATGAGACTGCAATACCTCTCCCCACCTCCCCCTAGCAGGCTCAAAGAGGGGGAAGCACATCACCAAAATAATAAAAATTTTAAATGGAGCCCTCCCCTCCACCCATTGTAGCTTTATGAGTAAAAAGAACAAGAAAAAAGAAAACTTTACGGGAAAGTTGCTGGTCTCTTCCTGTCACTGTTTAAAAAATGGCGGTTATAGTCATAAAAGTAGAGGGAAAATCTTGAGGTACCTTCAAGTGCAATAGAGATAAGACAGGATGCATCTATAATATAGCTTGCTTCACCATCATCAATGATTCTACTGACTGCTGGGCTCCAAATGGAAATCACTCGCCACTGGAAATTGTTGGAAGGCTTCATCACTAGTTCTGAAAGCCTGCAACATTATGAGAAGATATTAGGGAGTGAGGTCCCAAAAGGGCCTCTTGGAAAAAGCTTGACAAATAAAACCAACTTATTTTCATTTGTTTCCAGTGATGTCTCTTTAATGATTTTTTTTTAAAATGAAATTTAAAATAGAAAGATGCCTAGAGTTTCTGATAAAAGCATTCTAAAAATTCAAATGAAAAATGGGTAGTGGAGCAAAAACATGTTTTCTTTTCTCTTAAAAAAAAAACACAATTTTTTGCAACACAATCATCACTGGGTATTTGTGGGAATGGGGGAAAGGACATTTGTGACGATTGCCAAAATCAAAAGAGTGATCTACCACTGCACAAAGGTTTGGTCTTAGAATACAGAGAGCAATTTGGCTTAAAATTGGCGAACCAAACTGAAGTTATGACAGTCTGAAGTTGGGAACTGACGACAGTTGTTTTGAGAGGAGGTGATTTAAAGTTTTCTTCTGCCATGTCCAGGCCAGGGTAGCCTAAAATCAAAGCGGCTATTAACATTGCCAAAAATGAACTATCCACTTGGCCAGATCGTTCATAATTATGTGTGTTTAAATGAAAGATGCCAACACTGTGAATCTACTTTTCCATGAATTTCAGTTAGTTTTTCAAAGTTTTATTGATTTAATCGGCATTTTGGTGCTCTGATTTTTGGATTTTCGAAGTTTTGGTAATATAATATTGGTAGGTTTTCCATAAATTTACCTCTAAAATCTGATCAAATTCCTCCAATGCTTAGCTTATGGACTTGTTTTCATGTGATTCAAATCGCAAAGCCAATTTGAAAATTGACCATACAGCCCCAATACTTTTTGCCCGGCCATTCGTGGACTATCCATTTTTAGATTGGTCGGTGGCTTCTCTGCGTAAGATGCAAATGCGAGTACCCGCTTTGATTCTAGGTCACCCTAGTCCAGGCCTTCAAATAGTCAAATTGTAAAGCTATTTCACTACACCTATGGGTAAAAAATTATTTAAACCACTTACAGCTCACACCTTTGGGTCTTAGAAAGTGTTATCCATTAAAGCTCAATTTGCTTCCGGACAGACTGGTGGCAAAAATTCATATCATCCAGCTTGATAAAAATTAATCCTCTGAAAACATAAGTAGGTAGTATCTTGGCACTAGAGGCCATTCTCTTATGGATAGTCATTTAATCTGATTTCTCATCATTCTTATCTGCAGCTGCAAGATTTACATGGGCCACTCTATCTCCTGGACACTCCATAATCAATTATATCTGAAAAAATTAAGAGGAGTACAAATTAAATTGTTCGATTTAAAATTGAAATAAGAATGCTTTGAAAGAAAGAGGTAACCACATTTTGCTGTTGAATTGAACGATAATATGGATTGAAAATTAAGCATAAGTAAGAAGGTTAGAGAGGATGCATTTCTTCACTTACAAGCCAATTTGCTTCCGGATAGACTATGGTATCAAAAATTCCACCAAAACAATCAGATGTACTTAAATCACTTCACTGAGTGAAAATCTATAGAGAATCAGGATCTCATAAAAAATATTTACTTGATAAATTGTGCTGCCAAGTTGAAAATATGAGAAATGACAAGCCTCCAAAATAAGTAGTGACATCAGTTTATATAATCACTGCGTTACTTCAAGGTTACAAACAAGGTTTTATTCCGTAAAAATTATTGGAAATATTTTTGTCATTCGAACATACCAAAAATATCTCAGAATTTTGAAATAATAAAACTTTATGGAATGACAAGGCAATTATTTAAGCTGATAGGTACTCTGCAGGGACATTGAATAATGAAATAACACTTAAGATCCTCTTAAACCTCACCAATTTCTGTTCGCAAACTTTCAGCTTCGTTAAATTTAGCAATGCAATTGTCATGATCTTGGGTTCAAAATAGAAGCTCTAAACTCTGAAAATATCTGAATACTTACATAATCTAAAGCACTGGATCCCCACGTTGTTTGTAAATTTACATTCTATGAATTTGTGAAGCAAACAATGCAAGATTAGAACACATTTTTTCTCAAAGTTGCTACAGATTGTTTGATAAAGAAATGACAGGAAGTCTGCATTTGAATTCAGAAAACAAACATTTTCTCAATCTGGGCATTACCTTCCGCTTGGAAAAATATATTATCATTAAGAACACATTTTCATGCAATTGGATATTTTGACACAATTTGGCAAAAATATTTAATTCAGAAAAAAAAATAAGTATTAGATACGTGACAACAATATGACATGTATGCCAATACCTGCACTGCTCAGTTTGCGACATCGCAAATTTTTTATTGTACATAATTGAATTTTCTACAGGATGATTAGGTATTTTATCATTATGATTGCAAAAAATATTTATTGATTTTTCTTTGCCTTATGTAAAATATTTTTGTAGTAAATATCTATGAAATTTTCTTACCACAATATTCCAGTGTTTTGAGATAACCTATCGGTAAAATGAAGGAGGAGCGGAAATTTCAAAACATCACAATGCAGAGACATATTCTTGCAGTTTCATTGTAAATGTATCAAATTATTTAGTATTGTTGAGTATGTAAAGTATTGTTAAGTATGTAGAGTATTCTTAACTACATACGTAAATTTGTTTCAAAATTGTTCAGTACGTAAATTTAAAAAAATTAAAAAGAACACAAATTTTTTTTTTAAAAACTTTTAATTACAAAATTTACAAACTTAAAAAAGTGGTTGCGATTCAAAATTAAAAAATATACAAATATGTGAGACCAATTAGCTTACTCCTTTTTGGATTTGATTTCATCCCTGTGATGTAAGAAAACAATACTAAAGAGGAACACACCGACCATCATAGAAAACGCTGACGTGTAGTAGGGATAGGCACTTGGTATGAAGCGCTCGTATTGTGTATGTTCTAAGGGCCGCACAGAGACAAGGGTTGAATTATGGATGAAAGTGTAGCCGACCCGAACATAGTTGACCTTGAACTGGAAAACTCCATAAATGTCAGGGATCTTGAAGACAACTTCGTACTTTCCATCAGCTTTGAGAGGCAGAGATGTCCTGATGAAAGGATCAATGCGGACAAACTCCAGTTGAACATCTTTGGCATTGTGTGGCACCCATTTGTCTCCACTTTTCCTCTCCAATTCCAAAGTGAATACCTGGGTTCGTAAAAAATAATGGTTAAAGAGGCAAAAAATCGAGATAAGATATAAAAAAAACAATGAAGGAGGTCACAGGTTGAAACAACTCCAGTAGTAAATGACATATTTTACGAAAAAAACATTGTAAGAAACTCGTAAAAAAAGTGGGAAGTAATGTAGAACAAAAAATAAATACGTATGCAGTACTTTTTACAAGAAAAATATGTACCGAGTACAAATGACCTCTCTCTATTTCTTAAATCACAAATTTTTTATGTAAAATTCTTAAACTCTTGACGATTAACGACTCATTCACAAGTTTTTTTCGCGTAAAATTTTCAAACTTATAAAAAATACCAGTAATATATTTTTTCTCCAAGTTAATTTATGAAGTGTGCTGCTAGGGAAGACAATATTTGTTTCATGATGTATTACATTGTAATATATATACATCATTATTTCAATGAACCCTCCTACCTTTTTCCTGCAGTCAAAAAATAACTATCGGTAGAGAGCATTTGGGGTTGGACCCAAGTCAAAAAAAAAACCTGAAAATGAAAGGGAGGTTGGGTACATACCTTTTAGTGCCTACACCTGTAGTATTACATTAGCTTTTCCCACAATTTGGTGATTGGGAGAACAAACGAACTATGAATGCAGGCAAACTTTTTAGCCATTTTGCACACATGCTAATAACTTTTGCTTAAGTTCTCCCCCGCAGCATAAAGTCTCTAATTCTCTGTAGTTTGTAGTCATAGAGTACGCAAGGAATATGGTTTACGTTGCTCCTCTTCTTTTGAGAGAGAATCTCTTCTTACCAGATATCTCCATTTCACTGCTCCCTTATGATGCAATTTTAGATTAGGTTGGTAGTTCTCAAAATCAACAATCAACACAGATGTCGTGATGTCTTGTCTTGTCACAGATGTTCTTTCAGATATCTTCTATTCATAAAATTGTTTTCTTAGAGATTGTTCTGATTCCTTGAATGAGAGTAAAAAAAAAACAGGCAGTTGAAGGTGTCAACCTCCTGTCATTTTACAAAAAAGGGGGGAAAAATAAAACTTGAGAAACTCCTAGAAGAAAAACACTTAAAAAACTAAAAACAATTACCGCTGTATCCATGATAGTATAGGCTGGCGGAGGAGCAGTCTCGCCCAATTTATGATGAGAGACTGACTTGACTCGCAGAACACCAGACTCAGCAAAGACCCACTTGCTTATCGCTTCAGCAACTTGAGCATTTCCAGATACTTCATGGCGCTGCTTGCTTTGAGCTTTCTGTACAGGTGAAGTGAATGCTTCATCGGAGAAGAAATACAGAGATCCAGAGAAGACAACTCTAGCATTGTTTCTTGCTTGCAAGGCAGCAATCAATAAAGTATTCTTTCCGATGGCATGAGGATACTGAAAAAATAAGAGGACAAATGGTGGTAAAATTGGTTGACCATTGGTTACACGGGAAATTATAAAGGCTATTACAACCTCACTATAAGTCTCTTGAATTATGTATTACTTGTGATTGCACTACATGAAATGTTTAATTATGATACTACTAACTTATTCTACAACCTGAGAATTTTTATCTTGAAACTTCAAGACTCATACCACTTTCAATTATTGAGCTTTTGGGGTCAAACTTGCTCTAAAATTTCCAGATTTTCTCCTGGAAGTTAAGATCCCTTCTCACAGAACCAACCACATATCGACATTCAATGTCTCGCCTCACTAATTAAAGTTTTAAAAACCTGCCTGTAGAAAGTGAGGGCTTTCAAACATGACAAAAGATTCATCGTATAGGATACTCAATAAAGAATTTACTAAATACTTAGGTACCTTAAATATTTTTAAAGTCAATGGGAAAAAAAAGGTCTTCAATTTTTCAAAAATTTGCTATCTTTTCAAGGTCTTAGGATGGGTACAATTTCCATCCTTGGCTATAAATTATGCATACTAAAGCTGATATCTGATAACTGCAGTGTTACTTACATCTTTGATAGGCTGCGAGGGATTGTGACAATATGCAGTGCTATCAGCAGTGAGAAGATGAAGAATCAAAGGGTTCTCAGAGTCTGCGATCAAGCCAGTACCTTCGTACAGAAGTGGAGGAATATCACGAGATCCAATGATTACGGGAGAGTCAATTAAGTTCTTCGGATCAGCAACAATCAAAGAATGCTAGAAAAGGAAAGACAAAGAAGAAAGTAATACGTCATCCTAGATAAAAGCACTAGAATGTTGGGATGGCATCTCGCTATTGTAGAAACATACATTTTGAGTTATTAGTTTGTTCCAGTCTCTTCCAGAAATCAAAGAAATAAATTAAAAAATGAAATTAAAAATTAACAAAAAAAGGCTGAGACAATTTTGAGAATTAAATCAATATGTAGTATGATAAATTTTTACGAGTCTGCAAAAATAACTTGATGTTAAGTTGACATCGAGGATGGAACCAAGTTCCACTAGTATTTAATTTGATTATGCGTCTGACTTGTGGATCAAACTTCAGATTTGATTGATGTCCTTGACGAAAACTGGCACTTTTCTTAAATTTTATTTGTCGGAGAATATTTTGCGAAAAGCCAGAGCAATCAAATTGAATAGTTCTTGCCTTAAAAAAAGGCAGCATCATTGCATTGGGCAAAGCAGTGGGAAGTTTCTTCATCTAGCCATACAAGTAAGCAAAATTTATTAAAAAAAAATTAGGCCTGTCATCTTACTTTTCCAGAATCTTTGATGTCATAATTAAGATGGTCTATCACAGCAGAGCCTTCTTCATCAATTTCAAATCCACATTCAGAGGCTAGTTCTCTTAGTAGATCACCAGTTGATGAGCTGCCAGCCACCAACACATTACCTAGCATAAAAAACAAACAAAATAATAATAATAATAAAAAAAAAAAAAAAATCAAAAAGAGATGCAGGAAGACAACTCTACAAAAATCTCTCATTACAAGAGAAAATCACTATCATTTTAGAAAATTGGTTACCTACTTTTCAAATCTCAGTACCTAAATGCACCAATGAAAGGTTAATTATTTTTGTGTGTTTACTGATAGTATGTGCATGACTCCTTAATTTTCCTTTATCTACAAAAAACATCTGTAGATGTGCATGCCCGGTTTATCTTCCATCCGGTTTCCTTGACATCTTCCATGCTACGCCAAGCTCATGGACTTGACATAAATAAAAAATGGAACTTAAGTAGGGGAATGAAAAAAATAAGAACTTACCTCCATTATCAATAAATTCTGTGATTGTTTCAACGCTCAATAAACCACCAAATTCTTCAACTGTAGGAGAAAATATGATGAGATTTTGATACAAAAACTCTCCATATTTTGACAAGACTAAATTTTGATCATCAGCAGATTTGAATGTCAATGAATATCCTCTGTCTATTGAGAGAAAAAAAAAGAACAAGAAAGAGAAAACTTCAATTATATTGATGATGGTTTGGTAAACGCGTTTAACTAGCAAAGCAGATGTATTTAATGGTAAGTAATGAAACTATAGGTATTTTAGCAAGAAAAATGATTGAAAGCATAGGGGATGCAAGTAGTTCAAGGCCTCAGAAAATTCTGAAACACCTCGGATCTTTGCAGGAAGGTCAACACAATGCGCTGATTAGAGTTTTCTCTGGTCTTTTCCTTGATTTGCAATTTTCACTGAGATATTTGTGTAAATTTCTATGTTTTACTATTTTTACCGCACAAAGTTAGGCCTCTTGGCAAGTTTGTTGTAGTGACTTTAATTTAAATACTGATACATGTATTTCCTCTTATTAATAAATGAATCTGATGATGATAAATTGTATTGCCTCTGTAGTGCTGTATTTATGTTGCAACAGAGAAAGCGTTCTCTTGCAGTATGTTTACCCTTCAGGCCCCTATAACTAGATTTATATTTCACCTTGTGGAATTCTGGCTAAAGTCATTACTAGCAATCTAGCTAAAGTTTCTTTCACAAAAAAGCCACTGTATGAACAGAAAATGGAAAAGTGTATTCTGACTTGCATCTCTAGGACGACAAAGACGAGAAGTTTGAATCCTATGAAGAACTTCCCTGCAGGCATATCGACAGTGTAAGTCGGCAATCACATAACTCGTTTGCGGTGTCTGAAAATTTCCGCCTCTCAGTTATTTTTTTCAGGTAGAGCAAATTAACATCATGCCTTGAAGTGTTTACAGAATTTTCTTCGCACAGAGAAGAAAAATCAAGTCAGTTTTAAAGAATTTCTGTTGAGTAGTTCACTGTTTAAAAAATAAATTATGACAGGAAGTCTGCGACGTCACAAACCGAGTTATATGATTGCCGACTTACACCGTCGATATAGTAAGAAACAATACTTGTAATTTATTATAAGATGAAAGGAATAGGGACAAGTAGCATTAATTTAAATCATTAATTAGATTAACAGCATTAATTTAATTAAAGTGTTACCGGCGAGAAAATTGAAAAATCGATGCTTACTTACCTTTGAGAGACTTGAAGAATATTGAGTGAGTTTCTCGGATTGAAAGAGTATCCAGCAAGACGAGAGTCTTGCCGTTGTTGGCTTGAGCAGAGCATGAAGTAGTGATAAAAATACTAATAATAAAACCGATAAATACAATAATATTTGAAGTCATTTTCGGCATTTTTATCACAGACAACTGATATCGGCCAGAATTGCTCGGGTGGAGGTTATGGTCAGGGACCAGTTCTATAGGACCCTGGACTCCCGTAAGAGTCAATGTAAAAATTCGTGAGCAGGTACTAGTGCTGCATTCTCGCGTAGGATCCTCGCAACTCACTGCTGTTATCAGTTGTTGGACTTCATTAAAATCCGTAGGATCGCGTATAACTGCAAAAAATCGAATTTTTCACCGCATTACTTAATGCGGCGGGCCCTTCCTTGTCGAAAGGGGTCGAAAAACGCCAAAAATATACTTATTTTTCAAGAATTCAGCCGCCTTATGTGTTATTTTTCAATCTCCGGCTTCACCTCACTTTTGGAGCGGGCGATGGATGAGTCGAGGTTCGGGGGGGAGGATCCTCTGAGTTGACTAGGATCCTACGCGAGAATGCGCTGCAATCACCCGCTCACAACAGAACGGCGTCCTATAGAACTCGTCCCTGTTATGGTTGTTGTTGATAGTGACGTGTAATGACGTCTGACGTCTAACGAGTCGGCTGGCCAATCAGAACAGACTCAGAAGCCGGTGTTGTTTATTTACGTTTTTGAGTGAGTTTTGAGGTTAAGAAAGCATTTCCCAAGTGAATTTTTTTTAAAAAAAACTGTTTGTGTATTTTGTGCGTCTTTCCCCCTAAAAGTTCTACTTGCCACCATGGCGAGCGTAAATAATGATAAACTGAAAATGATGGAGGATGAAATGAACAGGTTAGTATCTTAATTTTGTAACCTTGTCCTTGCACGAAAGATTTATCTTAGTGCGCCCCTCAATTATTCGCATGTTTTGGTTACCGGATCCTATTGTAAGGGGTGTAACTCGATTCTTATGAATGTGAGAGATAAGTGGTGCGTTGTGAAACTCACCGTGAGCTCGTCGGAGGATCGTTGAGCAGAGAGCACGGAGGATTAACCCATTCGTCTCCTATAACGAGTATACTCTTCAGCGCATGCCTCTGACATATCTCAGCTGGCGAGTTAACTTGTGTCATCTGTTGGCGTTGCGATGCTTGAAATGCCATCTATAGGAAAAGTGAAAAAACACGACCAAGAAAATTGCGTAGCAATGCTGACAGATGCTACGAATTAACTCGTCAACTGAGATTTGTCCCATGCATGCGCTGACGAGTATACTTGTCAAATGAGGCGAATGGGTTATTCAATGATTTGTCACCACTTAGCTGCATTGTCGCAGTAATCCGCCAGATATTCTTGATTATGTTGCCTCCGATAAAAGGTGAGACGTGAGGATGTAAGTTACGCAGACCTCACCTCTGTGTAGTCACAGGTATGCTCTGCAGCTGCATGACTGCGAGAAAACAGAGACTTGGAAACCAGTTTGTAGAGTAATGTAGCAGGTCTCGGGGTTATTATTCCAGAGTTTAATAACATTTGTCAAAGAACCCCGCACAGAGCATGGGGTCAGCGGCTCTCTATGAAAGTCGATGAAACTTTAATAGATTGATATAAAGTCATAATTAAGGGAAAGCCAAAAAATTAGCTCTCTTTTGCGAGTAGAAGCCGAGATATTCGCGATTGAACCCGAACTATTTTCTGTGCGGAGGAGGTAAATTCTCCGTGTCGCCTTACCTTGCTTGAGCACTTCGGCCAGGAAACCCCCTCTCCCCACCAGGTAATTACGATGTCGCATTGTTTACACTCGCTCCTTTCATTAGGACGCTCCGTTCGGGCTGTGCGATATGGGGTTCCCTGCTTCTCGCACCTCTACTGTGCCGGCGCCGCCGGCCAGTTTAATCTGAAATGTAGTTGCTGAAACAGAATTGACAGATGCGGGGAGAGGGAGGAAGTACGGTATTCGCACCGGCCGGGCGCATAAGCACCTATCTTCACGTGAGTGACGAGAGGTCTGATCGAGAACACCGCACAACGAGAGGAGAGGGGACTCGGAATTCTCCCGCCATGCTGCGGCATGATAGAAAATAGTCCTGATTCAATTGTGAATATCTCGGCTTCTGCTCGCAAAAGTGAGCTAATTTTTTGGCTTTCCCTTCATTATGAACTTTATATCAATCTATTAAAGTTTCACTGACTTTCATAGAGAGCCGCTAACCCCATGCTCTGTGCGGGGTTCTTTCCCCGAACATAGGACTTCATAATTTTGATCTTGAGACTTCATTTCACTATGAGTACTAAATGTTTTGCCTTTGAAGCTGAAGTGGCGATTCTCTGAGACTTCATCTCAATGATGAGCATTTGCAAGTCACATTTCAGTTTGTTGCGGGAATTTTAAGAAAATACTGGTATCCAATTCTTCACTTTACTGCAAGAAGTACTTTCGCCCCAAAATTATAAAATAATTTATCATGGATTTAAGCTTTTTTGCGACCTAATTCAATTCATTTTGTATTTTTCTAGGTTTGAAGAGGAAATATCAATAGTTCCTCCTCCACCACCTCCTCCACCATTCATTCCTGCTGCTGTAGCCAATCGCATGGTTATTGGAACCAATACTTATAACCAAGTTCAAAATCAACTAGATGCTATGCCACCGAGAATGCCTTTTCCCGGGCCAATGGATCCAATGAGTAAGTGTCGCAGATTTTTTATCTTTTATCTCAATAATTGAAACTAATACTTAAACTTATACTGGTACCTACCCTTCGTAGAGTCTATTCTGATGAATGAATACTGAATCTCATGCAGAGTTTTTCAATAGAAGAAAAACAAAAAATTAAAGGTTTGTGTCAAATTTACTTAGCGATGCACTGCTAATTTGTCGACACTAAATTTTCATGTGGATAGAGCACCCCGGGAAAGGGTAGAATCCAACTAAAATATAGTGAAATAATCCATCTGAACAAAAATAAGGCTGGTAGGTAAGCTGCATTTTTTACCTTTAATTTTCAAAAATGCCAATATTTTAATAATCTAATGTCGTGAAGTCAGCCATCTTGCCTGAGCGACATTTATTAAGGAAGCACTCCCCATCCTTTATAGTCTTTAAAATTGAACCGATTTGAAAAAGCTTTAAGCTTGATCTTCCTCAGAATATATCAAATTCATAACACTAAGCATTTAATTTTTCTGATGCCCTCAGGTTTACCACCTGGACCACCTGGGCCACCGAGACCTCCTATGGCAGGTAATTTTGGTCCTGGTCCTCCGCCGCTTTTTCCACCGGGGCCTGGTCCCATGGGTTTCCCTCCTAATTTTCCAGAAGGACCTCCAATGATGCCTCCAAACATGCCTCCCAACATGATGGGTCCGAACCATGGACTCCCTGATATGATGGGACCACCCGGTTTTGGCAATGGACCCCCTGGTTTCTTCCCTCCTCCTCCTCCTGCTTTTGTCAAGTCTCAGATTGAAGAAAAGAAAGCTCCAGTAGTACTAAGGTAAGGGTTTTCATGATTTTTAATTCGAGTTTATTGAAGAAATTCATAGAAATTTCATTTTTTTTTTTATTATTATAATTTGTTAGGTACTGTAGAATTTGTATTTAGCATCATTCAGACAGAAGATACAATTGGATTAAGAGACTTATGAACCTAAGTGTTTCTGACTTGACAAGATTAGCCTGCATGCATCTAGGCTAATCTAATCAAGTCATATCTAATAGATGCAATAATGCCGAATTACTAGTTCTAGCTTAATTAAATTGTCTGGAATGGATTTACTTTTTTCATAAATGTGAATGTTATTAGAGATATATTTTATTTCACATTGTTTAGTTTGTAGGCACTTAAAATTTTCTAGGATAAATCAATAGGAAAAATAAACTTTTGAAGTACGATACGTCATTCCTCAGTAAACGCTACAGTTTAAGATAATGAAAGCTGAGAAATTCCTGGAAAAGGCCAAAATTTACTGAAGCAAATGTAATTTCCTATTTGTAGGTAGTAGTTTGAATCAAGAGAATAGAGTATTTTGTAGAACAGAAATGTCTTTTAAAATGTATCAACAGCCTATTGGATTTTTTTAAAAGTTAATAATTTATTTATTTTTTTTTTTTTAAAAAAAAAATTATGTTCTGTTTAACACTGTCTCAAAATATTATCTCTGGCAAGCCACTATTTGGTGTTTTTGAAATTTGAAAAACTGGTCATAGCCTCCTGTCAAGCTTCAAAGTCTAGATTAGGTGAAGAGAAATTTTTTGATGGTCCACTCCACAAAAAGCTGGGGGTGAGGGTTAAAGTTACGTCAGTGCCTCAGTCTATTATTTAAGAGTAGATTAGCTTTGGCAAGCCTGGGTCATTTGAATGAGCTAATATGCTGGCACCCATGTTTCAACCCCTCAACAACATCCCAAGTCAGCCACTAACTCCAACTCTCACCCACCACTTTTTATGACGTGGACTACAGGTAGACTTTGGTTTGTTTTAATGTCTTGTGGTAATCTCCAAGTAAAGATAGAAGGATCTCATGTGAAATGGGAAACTATTTTTGAGGCTAAGTTGTTCTCATAGAGTCATGCTGGTTGGTGGAAAACCAGTAAGGATCAATCAGGAAGGCCACTGTGGTCATCTTTCTGGACTATTTCGTTCCATTTATGCCCGCTCAGTGCGGACGCCTAATTTTTCTGTCAGGTACCTTGATAAGAACAAAACAATCCATATTTAAAGCAGAGAACTCATGCATTTAACCAGTCATTCTTTTAGAAATTTGTTACTGTGATGTGTAATGTAGGACCACAAGTTAACCTGAATCACTCTGATTTAACTGCAACCTGGAAGTATGCAGCTGATGGTTATCTTATTTATTTTTTTCTTTCCATGCGCCCTATATTTCTGATCGAAAATAATTATCTTTTTTTTCCCACAGTGGCGCACCAAAATTGTACAATGCTAAGTCCAAAGAGACAGACAAAAAAGACTCAGCGGAAAAAAAACGAGCAGGACCAGCCATCGTCCCTAGTCAAGTCATAAAAAGTGATATTGATGGCAAAAAACCGATGAAAAGTGTTCCAAAAACGTCTGCTAAAGAAATGGCAGCTGCTGTGCAAGCAAGTCAAACTGTTGTCACTCAACAAGCTGTGGATGTGCCTGCAGCTACCCCTGCAGCACCCGGCCCTAGTGCAGCTCCGAAGAAAAAAGAGAAAGATAATAAAAAGCAGAAGAAAGTAATTCGCACTGCCGGGGGTGTAACTTGGGAAGATAACACTCTGACTGATTGGCCTGATGGTAAGTTTGTCAATCTTCAATGCAGCATTTCATTACCAAAATATTATATTTTTCCCAATCAAAGACAGCTTTTCTATAATAAATAATGGAAAAATCTTCCTTAAATCTTTGAGAAAAGTCCAGGAAAGTTGAATCAGTTTAAAAGCATTTTCGGTAAAATGTGTATGAAATGAGTATTTTTCTGCTCATTTTTTTTTTTAATATAGTTCTTTTTTCAATCTTTTTAATCATGTCACCAAGTTAGGGTGTCAACTGTACAGAAAAAGTATGAGTACATTGAAAAAGTACCGATTTTGAAAACTTGATTTGAAGCATGGCAAGCGTAAAAAATTTTCCTAATGAGGCACAAATATTATAAAAATTTGTGTTAAGCTTAACGAAAGATCGGTGGAAGTACGCTATTTTCATACTCAGTCAATGTCATCATATACCTGCAATATCTCAGCTAAACTCTGCATAAATTAGTTCATTCCTCTTAACTTTCCTCTCTCCTTGAGTTCTAAATGCGTGTCCAATGAGGAAAAAATTAAGGGAAAGGGCAATGAAAAAGCAAGGGTTTAAGGAAACCTCTGGAAAGAACAATCTTTCGGGAAGTATGGAAAAGTGAAGAAAATGTCATGAAGAAGGAAAGATTACAGATGATGATGTAACAGTGATCACGCTGCAAGTCCACAAGCTGTTGAATTTCTCATTTCGGAATCAGTTTGTGTACAGGTACTAGCTATCTGCAAAGTAAGCTGATTGATTCCCTTCACATTTGCTGTATTTATATAAGTAAGCACTCTAATTAAATCCATTTATCTTAATGTTTTTGGTTTCAGATGACTTCAGATTATTCTGTGGTGATCTCGGAAACGACGTAACCGATGAAGTCCTCATTCGGGCTTTTAGTAAATATCCCTCTTTTCAACGAGCGAGAGTAGTCAGAGATAGGAGAACAAACAAAACAAAAGGATTTGGTTTTGTAAGTTTCGCAGATCCTCAAGATTTCATCAAAGCCACAAAAGAAATGAATGGTAAGTTTCTTAGAAAATATTTTTATTTTTCGCCCTTCCTAATTGGTACTATGCATCAAAATGAAAACATACAGTGCTTGGGGTTTGCCAAGAAAGGAATTGTGCACTCAAAAGTGGAACAGCATAATGGAATCGACGTATGCAAAAACGTCCGTTGTCCAATACAGGGTTTCATAATTGCGGGGGGTTTCTTTTGTCCCTCGACACTGATGAATAGGATCGATCTCTTTTGTAAACGTTTAATTACACTTAGGAGATTATTTAGACGATTTTTCTACATTCCTAACATCTTAAACTATCTTGTGTTGTTAATTTACAACAAAATTGTCCACTCAAACTCTGGAACACTGTCTTGGACATTGGACGTTTTCGCATACGTTGATTTAAGTGAAAAGTCTTTAGGTGGATTTTTTACAAATACTCAAGTTGAATTTCTTATTTTTTAGTAGGTACTTATTGTTCTTGGCAGCAGTTGGAAAGAATTTTTTCTTTTTAGGACACAAACCACAATTTTTGTGGACAAACTTTGTAAGTCAATATTTAGCAGCGAATACGTAAATTCTGCAAATATTCTGGCAAGGCATGCTCTAGGCATGCATAAATAAATTGTATTAATTGAGTTTGGTAAATTTTGCATAAACTTGATGATATTTAAGAGCAGTATGAATGGAACAAAAATTATATATTGACAAATGGTGAGATAATACACATTTGTGATCATTCGTGGGATGAGTTTTTGACAGAAAACTTCCAAAAGTTTACACAAAAACCATGGTATCATGTTTTTTTCATGCATGTGTCAATTTTTTAATTGAAAAATTCGTGCTGTAGACTTAAAAGCTCAAATGGTTTTTTCGAAGAATTGTGTTTTCTGAACTGCAAAGTTCCAACTTCAGTTGGTCAGAATTTTTATTTAGCTCTACATTTTTTAGTTTTTTTGTGCCCAAATGTTCGCAAAACATTTGACAAAACTTTAACAAAAAGAGGCCTAGAAATGGCCATCTTCGATTTTGCTGCAGTTTGTAACAATGTATAGCTCAAGCATAGCCAGGCTGCCCCTCAGCTTTTACTAATGGGCTCCTGCTACTGAACCCTCCAAATAATTGTCAGGAAATGCCTACTGATTAACATCAGCGGTATTAGAAGTAATCATCAGCGAAATGCTTATCCTAGTGGTGGCGCAATGACCCAGTACTCGTCTGTCAGCAGAGAGGTCGTAGGTTCTAGTCTGCGGCTTGGTTTTTATTTCAAAGGCCCTCCTTGTCTTTGATTTCTAACCCTCTCTCTTAGAACTCGGTCCCAGGAAGAGTAGAACTCTATGAAATTATTACATAAGATAGGCTGTCACTGATGAGAAAAAAACTAAACAAAAAATTGATGAATTCTATAATTTTTTTACTAAGTATTTGTTTTACTCGGCAAAAGCCCATTTTTCGTAATAATTTCATGGAAATCTGTTTATTTAGATGGCTGATAGACTTGACTGCTACTGGTATAATTAGTGAAATTTTTTTTATTGGTTCCATTCAGTGAACATTTAAATCAGACGAGTTTAGGTTGGATTTACCAAAAAGGCGATCCTCTTTTTCATGAATTAATTAATAATGAAAAATCTTTCCCTTTCAAAGCTGACTGAGGTCTATAGCAGTGGTGGAACTGAGAAACTGTGTAACTAGGCCTGCGACCTCTAGATTCTCTGTCATATTTTATTTTTTGACAGAAGACAGATCATCGTTATCATACAAAATTTTGTGTGATTTTTCATTTTCCCTTAGCAGTGTTCAAATAATCAAACTACTCAGTAGGAACAATATGATTTACTTTGTTCACTCAAAACACTTTATTTACAAGATTGCTCCAGAATTTTGGATCTTTCTTGTTCATAAATTAAGCAGCTTCAGTAAGGGTAGGAAATTTTGAAAGGCGGAATTTGCTCGTGCTGAGGAGAATAACTTGATCATGAATTCAAAATACTCAACAATGTTCTTAATGGTAAGAGAGTTTCAATCAATATAATCACAGTATAAATAGGTGGTGAGCTTTTGCCTTTTAGACAATAGAACATAATTTAATTATAAATACAATTTAATTGAGAGATCATACACGGTTTGAGTTCCAACCATAAGAGAGGAAAAGTTGAGGAAGAGTAAGAAACCTTCTGGATGAGCCTTTCTGTTTGACTGGGGGCTGGATTGGTTTATATCCCCTGAGTTCCTCAATATGTGGTGCTGATGGAGGTATGATTTCGCCTCTCGGTTGATCTTGAGAAGAGAGAGGAAGAGCGTAAATTTGCTCTGAGCGAGTGGATACTGGCTTGAAGGAGTTGGACATGTACAGAGCATTGAAAGGGAGACCTCCAGCTCCCCATCCACGTTGGACTTGATTTTCATCTCGTTTGTGAGTTTTTAAGTATTTAGGGTAGTAGACTGGTTCCTCCAGCAGTAACTCTCTATCGAGGTTTGCCAGTAGATCCAGAGGACTATTTTCCTCATCGATCGAGTATTTGTACTTCAGAGCCATGTCCAAGTCTCGATCTCTATCGAGGAGGTTCTCATTCTCTTGTTTCTTACTCATCAGCGTCTGTTTATGTTGCTCTTGCAAAAAGTGATTTGCTTGAGGGAAACATTTAACAAGAGTGACTAATTCTGGAATGAGGATTATCAAGTATATGCTGTAGGTATACAGGATTCGCAGATCGTTTTTCATCTTATTTAAATACGCGAGTGGTTAGGCAGGATCTGAAACAGACAAGAAGAGAGAGACATTAGTCATCAATTGTGGGACCTAGGTTATCAATCTTTCTGCAGATCATCTACAGAATATATTCTTTATTTTACTCTTTTGAACGTTTAATTTTAACATTATTTATGCTCTCCTAAAAATGAGTCCCTAATCGATTTTCTCTATAATCATCCCAAGTGATTCAGTTAAGAACAAGGTAGTTAAGTTGGTGTGCTCTGAAAATGTCTCAGTGAAAGATTTTTAGTCAGGGCAAGGTTAATGGTGAGGCGTGAATTATCGATGTTTTCCCATCTGAAGCTGTAGTGAAGAGTCAATCATTAAGGTGTTCGTTGCGAACACCCTGTCTGTCGATCCTTTTCCGTAGGTTTGAATGACAGATCAATCAATGTACCGCAAAGCACTCCACGCCACTGGGCAAGGTGCTCAAAAATCTATGAAAATGTGTGAATTAAAAATTTGATTCCTAAAGCATTTTCAAAAGTGGGGTATAAGTCGCCCGGTCTCGGGCCTCTCTTTTCTTCGGTCTAGTCAAGCTCTAAAGCAACTTCCCATGTACTGAAATATCTCAAGTACATTGGCAGATCAAGCAAATCGGCAACATTGTTTTTCTCCATTTAAACCTATTGAAATGTATCGATTCTTGGAGGGGCCAGGTGCTCTGACAAGAATCGATTATTTAACATAGGTTTAAATGGAGAGAATCCGATGTTGCTAAATTGCTGGATCCGCCTCTGAATAAGTATGCATTCACGAGTAGGATGGACACAATTCTACTCGCAGACTTCGATAGCATAAATAAATAAAAAGAGGTATTTGAGACACGGAACATCAAGGCGAAATATTCAACTACTTTCTTACGTAAAAATTTTCAAGATTTTCACGTTTATTTGAGGTTCGGATTTCTAGACGGTCCATGTTGGTAGTATCTGTAATTGACATTACGTACGTCGCATCGCACATCCGCCAAATAATTAAAAAAAAGAAAACAAGGAAGAAGAAAACTGACTTAACACGTTTAAACCGTAAACTCTAAGTATCTCCGAGGTTTCAGATATCTTAATACAAGATTCGTGCACCTCGATAAAGGTCAAAGTAAAAAATGTTGAGGAATGTTGCAAAGTGGCACTACTCAATACGCCCCGGGGAGTGTGCATCGATACCACTATTGCGACCTTCAAGGACGCATATTGCATACCCATCCAAATGAAGGAGCGATCATTTTTATTTCAGGAAGAGAGACATTCATTAAGAATTTCCCGACAAAATGGACAAATGAGGGGCCTGGAGGACAAGCAGGGTTGCCACAGTCAGGGAAAACCGGGAAATATCAGGGAATTTAAAAAGTCAGAAAAAACCGAAAATGTCAAGGAAAATGACAAAAGTGTCCGGGAAGATTTGTTAAATCATCCTTATATGTTTTTTAGAGTGGGTTCAAGGTTTCGAACAACAAATTTTGCCTGAAAACCATTTTCAATTATGTCTCCTTAACCATCTGTCATATCTTCAATTTTAAAGGAATTTCACCAAAATCTGTCAGGGAAATGTCATGGAATTTCATTTTCCAAATTCTGTGGCAATCCTAGACAAGGCGCACAAGTGCAGTTTTTGCTATTTCGAGAAATGCGTTTCGGAAGTTTCAAAATTACATGGATCCATATGGTGGAAAGAAAGTTCATACTGACTTTTTGGTGCTTAAAAATTTGAAATTGGGAGTGATTTTTTCATAGAATATGCATTAAGACTAGTTGTACTTGAAATTATTAATATTTCATTTTCTTCAAAAACTGCTTTTATGCGCCTTGTCCTCCGAGCCCCTCAAATACTCTTACGGGCAAAAATCCTAAAATTTCTCGTTGAATCAGAAATGCACAATGACAATGTTCCCCAGCATATCTTCACCTTACGGCCAAAGTATGACAAGCGCCATGCGACGTTTCAAAATTTCCGCCGTCATTCTATTTTTTACCGAGAAATTGTTGGTTGAATCTGTTTGAAAATTTCACTGAATTTTATCGGCAGCACCAAGAAAATAAAGTGAAATTTTCGGACAGCTGCATTGAATAATTTGTCTGTAAAAAAAAGAGAAAAAAAACAAACGGTGACGGAAAACTCGAAACGTCAACTGCAGCCCGATTGTTGAAATTTATGTCGGCACGACAAGAATCGAAACTCGATATATTACACAGCGCAGATAGGGCTATGTCTTGTCTTATCTTGCCGACATAGTTAAAGTTTCAACAATCAGGCCGCTGGCGTTTGTGGTACTGTGGCCGGGAGGTGGCGATTTGCATTGGATGCAATGCATATGCGGAAGGAAGAGTCAAATTTTCTTTGCAACATGCGCGTAAGGGCGGGTCCATTTTCAGTCCCTCCATAGAACCCTGCGCTGGTACTGTGTCATGTTTCGAACAAATCTGTTCGGAAGATGGGCCGATTACGAGCGTTCTTTTTACGTACTCGCTCCCTCTGCGGCTAGAGAGAGTTATCTACGTTTTATGATTCCTTTTCACCCAGTCTCCCAACAGTACCCCCAGCGCGGTCTTGGACTCCCATAAAAATCGTCCGATGAAACCACCCCCGATCCAAAAATGACTGAAAATATATTCTTCTTAGCGGGCTGAGCCTCGAATGAAAGAGCTCTAAATTGTTTTGTGAAGGATGTCAGCCTCTCATCCTTCCATGCCTCCCCTCTCCGTTTACCAACTCCACGAGGTTTCAGCCGCTCCTCTATGCTCGGAATTCTGTTAATCTTTGCTTTAATTTCATATCTCAATGAAAGTGTTTCAACTCGTAAGTGGATTACTTCCATTGCCGGCATTCAGTTCTATGTTCACTATGAAAGAGAACAAATTTAATTTCAGCGTGCAGTATCTATTGATTCCGAAAGTATTTTAGGACTGACATGTCTATGATCCTTTCAATTTATCCGAGGGTAGGATGTGTATCCTTATACATATTTCATCGAGGAACGATTCACCGAACTACGCTATTTTTGCATTCATGTTCAACTTCCCGCAGTGCCTTGGCGTGCTTTGCAATTTATCGATATTTCCTCATTTGAAGTCATGGTGAAGAATCGATTGTTAAGGTGCTCCTTGCGAACACCCTGTTTATCGATCCTTTTCCAAGGGTTTAAATGGCAGATCAACCGATGCATCGCAAAGCACGCCACGCGCCACGCCAATGACTTCCCGCATTGGCGCATTCCCACGCGTGAGTTCAGTATCCTCAGAAAGATCTCCGACCGGTGAAAAAACACGTATCTCGGTCCGCGGAGTTGCAAATTTCTCGTCTTATTTTATTTTTGCAAAGAGAAATCCATAAAAATAATCCGTCGGAATTTTTACTGTCGTTCTTTTACCCTGCGCAGTATTTAATATAAATTAAAACGACGAGTTCAGCTCGTATCTCTTTAAAAAATGGGAGAAAATTGGTCGAATTTTTAATACGCTGCATTCGAGAAGCATTTTTCTCAACTTTTTTCTCCGTCGAAGATAAAAAATATAAAAATATCTACGTAGCTAGTTTGCGATTTTCTTCTAAACTTTCCTTAATATTCTAAGTTATTTATCTTTCAAAATTCACATCTGTTAATCCTGTAAGAAATTTTTGTAGAATTTTCTTGAAACTGCTGAAACAATTGACTCGAATTTTCTTAGCAACATAGTTGCTCCTCAAAAATTTATATTATGACAGGGAATATGCAACATGGGGAACTAAGGCACGTGGTATCGTTACCTCACCATTGGATTTGAAATGAAGGGATACGTGCAAGGTTCCCAGAATATTTTGTTCAGTAGGCGCAGATTAAATAAATGTCTATTTTTGGAGCGATAAAGTCTCGTTCTGTCAGCAGCGTTATCGACATTATTCGCCTTCATCTCGTAAAGTATGCAACACGGGCTACTTCACGCGCTGAAATATTGTTAGTCAGGCCTTGCAGGGACTGCCATTAGTTTTGGCGTTACAGTCGCGTAGTTAATGGTAATCTCGACAGACGCCTTCATCTCGTTGAGTTTGCAACTTGGGCTGTCTCATGTGTCGAAACAGTGGTATCTAGACATCAGCACTTGCACCACGTAGCGTAAGGAGGATTTGCACATCAAAACTTCAAAACTAGTGGTCATACTGGTCATATGATTAAATCGCAATTAATCGCAATTTTTTATCCGCTAATATTGCAATAAATCGCGTTACATTCGACGTACAATGCATCACGTACAATCGGAACGTCCAATCAAATCGCAACTTATCGTGATCACTGCTACTTGGGACTCGATATACAGACACAGCTTCTCTATATTATAGATGTATCTTTGCTAAACGGAACCAGAGACAGGTGTGCTCGTTCGTTGAGGGCCGTAAGAATGAATGGGAATTCTGAAGCGCTAGTGACGTCAGCGATGACGGATTTGGGATCGGGGACGAGGCTCTTTAATTCATGAGCCCTGTCCACAACGCTGTTGGTTATGCCCACGGCTCATGAGCTAGCACACAGTTAGCGCTTAGTTCCGCTTAGCAGAATGCTCATTCCCGCTTTGCCATTTCCCCTAAAGGAATCACACCCACTTTTTCATCGTTCCGTATGCAGCTCACCATGAGCACACGCCATCTTTCTTACACGTCTCCAGTTCCGTCCAGCAGAAATACGTCCATACGATACGGTGCTCTCATTTTCTGGAACTAGCACCGAATTTCAGAACTTTTTTTTTTTTTTTTTTGCCTCTATTCCTGTTTATTCAGTATCTTAGGAATCTACAGCCATCTGTAGACATGAGTTTTAACATAGAGATTATTTTATTGTCAGTAGACATCAGGGGGATTTCGGCACATCCATGCTCCGGCTTTCAAATTTTCAGGGATCAAGGTCGAGTAAAATTTGTTTCTGCAGATCCACTCGTCAGATCCGTGAAAATTTGTCGCCACTATCGGGATTAGAACTCGGGACCTATTGGTCTAGAGTCAGATGCGCTGACCGGTAGGCCAACCTGGCCGG